GAGAAAATACAGAGATTGTGGAGAGAATACAGAGGTTATGGAGAGAATACAGAGGTTATGAAGAAAATACAGAGATTGTGGAGAGAATACAGGGGTTCTGAAGAGAATACATAGTTATGGAGAAAATACAGAGGTACATCAGTTATGGAGAGAATACATCGGTTAGGAAGAGAAATTCAGTTTATGGAGAGAATACAGAGGTTCTGGAGGAGAGAAAAGGTACAGGAGGAGAAAATACAGAGGTTATGGAGAGATTACAGAGCTTATGGAGAGAATACAGAGGTTCTGGAGAGAATACAGAGGTTATGGAGAGAATACAGAGGTTATGGAGAGATTACAGAGGTTATGGAGAGAATACAGAGGTTATGGAGAGAATACAGAGGTTATGAGGTTCTGGAGAGGAATGCATGGGAGAGATACAGAGGTTCTGGAGAGAATACAGAGGTTACATACAGGGTTACTGGAGAGATTACAGAGGTTATGGAGAGAATACATATGGTTATGGAGAGAGGTTCTGGAGAGAATACAGAGTTTCTAGAGGTTCTGGAGAGAATACAGAGGTTATGGAGAGATTACACAGAGAATAGAGAGGTATACGGTGTTATGGAGAGAATACAGAGGTTCTGGAGGTTACAGAGGTTCTGGAGAGATTACAGAGGTTCTGGAAAGATTACATTCTAGGAAATTACAGGCAGGTATGGAGAGAATACATCAGTTATGGAGAGAATACATCGGTTATGGAGAAGACAATACAGAGGTTATGGAGAGATACAGTTTCCAGAGGTTATGGAGAGAGGTTACAGAGGTTCTGGAGAGAACATAGAGAGGTTATGGAGAGAATACAGTGGTTATGGAGAGAATACAGAGGTTATGGAGAGAGATGGAGAAAATACATAAGTTATGGAGAGAAATACAGAGGTTCTGGAGAGAATACAGAGGTTATGGAGAGAATGCAGAGGTTCTGGAGAGAATGCAAAGGTTCTGGAGAGAATACAAAGGTTCTGGAGAGAATACAGAGGTTATGGAGAGAATACAGAGGTTATGGAGAGAATACATAGGTTATGGAGAGAATACATAGGTTATGGAGAGATTACAGAGGTTCTGGAGAGAATATAGAGTATATGGAGAGAATACAGTGGTTATGGAGAGAATACAGAGGTTCTGTCGAGATTACAGAGGTTCTGGAGAGAATACAGAGGTTCTAGAGATATTACAGAGGTTATGGAGAGAATACATCAGTTATGGAGAGAATACATCGGTTATGGAGAGAATACAGAGGTTATGAAGAGAATACAGAGGTTCTGGAGAGATTACAAAGTTTCCAGAGAAAATACATCGGTTATGGAGAGAATACAGAGGTTATGGAGAGAGAATACATCGGTTATGGAGAGAATACATAAGTTCTGGAGAGAATACAGAGGTTATGGAGAGAATACAGAGGTTATGGAGAGAATACAGAGGTTATGGAGAGAATACATAAGTTATGGAGAGAATACAGAGGTTATGGAGAGAATGCAGAGGTTCTGGAGAGAATGCATAGGTTTTGGAGAGAATACAAAGGTTCTGGAGAGAATACATCAGTTATGGAGAGAATTCAGAGGTTATGGAGAGAATACAGAGGTTCTGGAGAGATTACAAAGTTTCCAGAGAAAATACATCGGTTATGGAGAGAATACAGAGGTTATGGAGAGAGAATACATCGGTTATGGAGAGAATACATAAGTTCTGGAGAGAATACATAAGTTCTGGAGAGACTACAGAGGTTATGGAGAGAATACAGAGGTTATGGAGAGAATACAGAGGTTATGGAGAGAATACAGAGGTTATGGAGAGAATACATAAGTTATGGAGAGAATACAGAGGTTATGGAGAGAATACAGAGGTTCTGGACAGAATATAGAGGTTATGGAGAGAATGCAGAGGTTCTGGAGAGAATGCAAAGGTTCTGGAGAGAATACAGAGGTTCTGGAGAGAATACAGAGGTTATGGAGAGAATACAGAGGTTATGGAGAGAATACATAGGTTATGGAAAGAATACATAGGTTATGGAGAGATTACAGAGGTTCTGGAGAGAATATAGAGGTTATGGAGAGAATACAGTGGTAATGGAGAGAATACAGAGGTTCTGTCGAGATTACAGAGGTTCTGGAGAGAATACAGAGGTTCTAGAGATATTACAGAGGTTATGGAGAGAATACATCAGTTATGGAGAGAATACATCGGTTATGGAGAGAATACAGAGGTTATGGAGAGAATACAGAGGTTCTGGAGAGATTACAAAGTTTCCAGAGAAAATACATCGGTTATGGAGAGAATACAGAGGTTATGGAGAGAGAATGCATCGGTTATGGAGAGAATACATAAGTTCTGGAGAGAATACATAAGTTCTGGAGAGAATACAGAGGTTCTGGAGAGAATACAGAGGTTATGGAGAGAATGCAGAGGTTATGGAGAGAATAGAGAGGTTCTGGAGAAAATACAGAGGTTCTGGAGAAAATACAGAGGTTATGAAGAGAATGCAGAGGTTTTGGAGAGAATGCAGAGGTTTTGGAGAGAATACAGAGGTTATGGAGAGAATACTGAAGTTATGGAGAGAATACAGAGGTTATGGAGAGAATACAGAGGTTATGGAGATAATACAGAGATTATGGAGAAAATAGAGGTTCTGGAGAGAATACAGAGGTTCTGGAGAGAATACAGAGGTTCTGGAGAGAATACAGAGGTTCTGGAGAGAATACTGTTAATAAAAAAAAAACAAAGCTGCTGAACAAAATAAAAGTGCAATATTTCATCCATATAAAAAACACTTATTTATGATTATTTTTTAATTTTTTGCTGGTACATCTTAAGTCTATTTAATTTTTTTCTAACTGTTTGTATGTTGAATTTTTTTTTTAAAGTGGATTTAAAGAAGTCGGACAAGAGTGACACCATGGAAGAGATTGGGGCTCACTACATAACATTACCAAAGACAGCAATGTGTAGCCTGCAGCTAAACTTCAATTATGGAGAGAACAAATCCTTTTTTAAAGCTAAATAACAGCTTCACAATGTTATAACAACTATACATATGCCCGGCTTGTGTGTCAACACACCAAACAATCAACCATTAATCAACAAAGAATATAATCAATATGGGTCATCTCTCACTCATTTCTCCCTCAACACAGACAGAAAGAGATCAATGTCTACCTGTATGAGTTTTACAAATCACCAGGACAAGATGGAGAACTGTAACAATTATATGGAACAGAAAATCCTACGTTTATAACTCTAAGAACGTTGAATACCACACACACACAAAAAAAAGCTTAGGATAGAAAAATTTATATAGTACCATCGTCTTAACAACTTAAGCAAAGGGCTCTTTTCCGCCTTTTTGGATGTCTGATGACGCCGCCTATACTTCCCAGGACTGTACCTGGTGACGACCACACATGGGCGAGTTCGCATGAGAGCCTAGGTAAGTTTTGAAAAAAAAAGGGCCGTCTCAGTCATGACCCGAACCCACGACCTTCCGATCAGCAGGCGAGCGTTTGGCCGTTTCACTACGGCGGCCCTCTCCCAAGGCAAAAAGTAAATTCAGACTAAGGGAAATAATCGTAATGGTTAAAATGATGTTTGCGTTCCTAGGTGTTATGTCCCTTAGGATTGACGTTGTTAGACCATTATTTCATCATTGTTGTGGCGGGGCAGTCCAAACATTGGGCGTTTAGTAAAGCGGTTTATATCGTAGTATTAGTGTGCACGCGTGTGTGTGTGTGTGTGTGTGTGTGAAAAGAAAGAAAGATAGATAGAGAGATAGAGAGAGAGAGAGAGAGAGAGAGAGAGAGAGAGAGAGAGAGAGAGAGAAAGAGAGAGAGAAAGAGAGAGCTGTCACACACAGCAGATGGTTCATGCTATAGTGCTGTCAGTGTATTTATCATGTGTGAGTTTGTTTCAGGACATGAAAATACCTACCATTAGTGAAATATACCTTAGTGAGTTAAAAAGACTTTAGTGAATTAAATAGACATAAGTGAGTTAAATAGACATTAGTGAGTTAAATAGGCATTAGTGAGTTAAATGTACATAGTGCAACATAAAAACACATAGAAAACAGAACAGGTGAGAAGAAATAAACAACACGGAAATACCTAGTAGGCTTATAGACCAGGTAACAACCGCTACACATGACATACACATCTAGCTGACAAATTAAGTGAGAACAGTTAAACATGACACTCAAAAAAAAACCCACCTGGCCCAGGCAAAAAAGGCAGTTAAAAATGACAGACAACAATAACCACCTGGCTTACAAACCAGGCAAAAAGGAAATTATGACAGATAACTGAAGATACCTAACAAAAAGACCAGGTAAGAAAAGTTAAACAGGAAAGACACACACACACACACACACAAAGACACTTATAGATCAGGTTAAAAGGGTTAAACATGACAGACAGGAAAAAACCTTTTAAAAATGACAAACCAAAAATTAAAAATTAAAAATGTGCACCTAGCTTACAGGTAAGAAAGGTTAAACATGACAGACACACACACACACACAAAAACCACTTAGAGAAAAAGTAAGAAAGGTTAAACATGACAGACCACAACAACAACAACAACAACAAAAACTCACATGCAAAGAGATTTATAGAATAGGTAAGAGAGATTAAAGATAACAGATGACAATATACACTCACCTAGCTCACAGATCAGTTAAACAAGGTTAAACATGACAGACTTTACCACAAAAACACATGCACAGACATATTAAGAAGGGTTAATTAAACATGACAGGTAACAAAAACACTCACCTAGCCAACAGACCAGGAAAGAAAGGTTAAACATGACAGACTTAAAACCCCCCCCCCCCCCCCCCCCCCCCCCCCCCCAAAAAATTTAAAAGAGGTACAGACATTGTAGGAAGGGTTAAACATGACAGGCAACAACAATAAAACTCACCTAGCCTACAGACTAGGAAAGAAAAGTTAAACCTGACCAAAAATACTCACCTAACTTGCAGACCAGGTGGAAGACATCAGATCTGGAATGATGTCGGGGGTCTACAGACACGATAAACCTGCTTCCAAGGCGAGCTATCTCTCCCTGAACCAAATCTGGAAGTTCATCCAGAGACTCCTTGGTATCCTCTGCCATCCTCTTTTTGCTGGGAGGTGGGCTGGGAGCTCTGAAAATGTGTAAGGTTACTGTCAGACATAAAAAGGTCCCTTTTTCCCATGTCTTTAGGTGTATTGGTAATATAGGGCTAGACCTATATTTTTTTTATAGATCAATCAGCACTTGGTGGATGATGTGGTCTGCAGGACTGAAACTGGTACCCACTCAAGGCTGGGTCGACATGGGATATTATCAGACATGGTGAATTATATATTTTGCCCCATTATGCAAACAAACAAACAACTCACACACACAAAAAAAGGTGGGTTTGTGAATCCAAGGAAATTTCAGCTGCTGGCTGAATTAGTTTCATTCTGACCAGATAACCACACAATTTGATACTCTGATGTTCTGGAAGACAACGAGAGAAGATTCTTGACAGTCTTGTTGCACACGAACTGATACATGCTGCAGGAGATCGTGGATTATGGAGAGGCATGATCGCCCACGCCAGTCGGCAAGGACACCTGATCATGATGATGATGTTCTGGGACTGGGGATATACCAGTACTGTGCCTACCATTCTTCTTAGTTCTTGATGGGTGATTGTCTCTTCCTCTTTGTCCCACCACATTTTTGATATATCTCATCTCACATGCTGCAATTAAGCGTTTATGTCTAGCACTGCCTATACCTGGCATTAATATCATAAACTTCATACAAATAACGCAGTTATCAGATGCTTTTTTTGGGTGCATGTTAATACTGTATGACTCAAAAACTGCTTCTTCTTCTCTTCCACCTTGTACCTCAGCGAAGTGTCAGGGGAAGATGGAACGTTCGTTGATGAGCTCTGTCAAAAGCACTATTAAGACTGATGTACATTTCTGTAAGGCTGTTCTTAATGCCATCACTCCATTTTTTCCGAGGTCTTCCACTTGCTCTATACCCATTATAACGTTTCAGTGTGGCTCGCTGTGGTAGATAGTACTAGGGCATTCTTGTTAGGTGCCTAGACTACTTAATTTGTTGTTCTTTGATGAACTGTAAGACTGGCTTTATTCCTAGCATTCATCCGATTTCATTTTCTGACTTTCCTTCAAACTCCTGCAGCTCTTCTAAGGCATTTTTTCAAACTGTTGTCACAGTTTTATGATCATTAGAGGACTTAAGTGTCCACGTCTGGCACTGATAGCATAGTGTTCGCCAAAAAAATAGTTCTGATTATCTAATTGTGTGTCAACAGGGAAGATAGTTGCCCCATTACTGTGATGATTCAAAAACAAAAAACAAGAAAATTAATGCAAAAATAAATAAATGAAGTGACAATTGAAACTTACGTGATAGGAGGTCCCATATAAGCTTCCAAAGCCGGGCCAAAAGTGCGATACAGTGAATGATTCAGCAGAGGTGCTGCTGAGAAGTGGGCCACAGCGTCTAGCAACGGCTGGCACATGTGTCCATGAGGACCACTAGAACTGCTGGTGCTGATTGTCTAGAAAAGAGGACACAACACTCTAGTGAATCCTCAATTAGTCATTCTGGGGGTGAGAACACAACACTCTAGGGAATCCTCAATTAGTCATCCTAGGGGTGAGAACACAACACTCTGGGGAATCCTCAATTAATAATTCTAGGGGTTAGGACACAACACTCTAGTGAACCCTCAATTTATGTAAGAATACAATACTCTAGGGAATCCTCAATTAGTCATTCTGGGGGTGAGAACACAACACTCTAGTGAATCCTCAATTAGTCATCCTAGGGGTGAGAACACAACACTCTAGGGAATCCTCAACTAGTCATTCTAGGGGTTAGGACACAACACTCTAGTAAACCCTCAATTTAGGTAAGAATACAATACTCTAGGGAATCCTCAATTAGTCATTCTGGGGGTGAGGACACAACACTTTAGTAAGTCCTTAATTAGTCAATTTGGGGGTAAGAATACAACACTCTAGTGAACCCTCAGTTGAGGTTAGAACAGAACACTAGTGATTCCTCAATGATTCATTCTGGAGATAAGAACACAACACTCTAGTGATTCCTCAATTAATCATTTTGGAGGTAAGAACACAACACTAGTGAATCCTCAATTAATCATTCTGGAGGTAAGAACACAACACTCTATTGATCCTCAATTAATCCTTCTGGAGGTAAGAACACAACACTCTAGAGAATACTCAATAATCCATAGCCACAACAGTAACATCAGTAGTCATGTGATGTCAATGTATCTCTATGGATTTAATTAATTACCGGCTTTTAATGACATTATTTACCACCTTTGCAGTGTAGGCAGGATATGGGGGGGGGGGGGGGGGGGGAGGGGAGTTGTCTTTGAGCCTGAGGATTTACGGCCACACAGCTAGTGTTGTCGCCATGGATTGTGCCAGTTTGGATTTTACAACAGAACAAATGCACAACCTTATAGAGGATTCGACCCTGGGTTTTCTGACCTATGTTTTTAATTGCTTAGCTAGCTGCTCCTCTTAATTAATTTCAACCGGTAAATATTAACTTTTGTGTTTTTCAATTATTATTTTTATTTTGTTATTTTTGGTCTATCTTCTGAAAAACGGTCCCAAATTATCAAGGCTAAGAAAATACCCTAACAGGGCCTCATTGTCTGTGACTGTGCTGCCAAAAACTGCGCTAAATATTCAGTAAACAACGCCCAACTAGTGCCGCCATGGTAACATCGCGTCAGTGTAAGTTCCATCCCTAACTCTTCAATCGATAGTGTCGCGGTTCCGTTGTTGTGACAGATTCTGGTGGCATAATTGCAATACTCCTTGCCCTAACCCTAACCCTAGGATCAAGGGGAGAAGCTAAACCTAGGACCCATGGAAGAAGTTAACCCTAGGACCCATAGGAGAAGTTAAACCTAGGACAAAAGGCTAGAAGTTAAATCTAGCACTCAGTGTCGGAGCTGTTGACACTCTCAATGATTTGGGACCATTATTTGGAGTAGTGTTTCCCGCGGTATGCGGTATAGGTCGCAATTATCTCTCAGTCTGAAGGAAATCCCCTAATCAGTCACCCGTACGACATGCTTGTTAGGAAGGGAATGGGTCTATCCCCCTTCCCCCACCACCTCCCAAGAATGAGGCTCTGGAATCTACACTGGGACGCAGATTAGTGAAAGGTACTGAATAACTGAATGTGATATGGTAAAGTCTCTGGCAGAGGGAACAGTGACCCCATTGACTAACTGGCAGAGGGAAACAGTGACCCCATGCGACAAACTGGCAGCGGAAACACAGTGACCCCATGTGACAAACTGGCATTGAAAAATAGTGACCCTATGTAACTAACTGGCAGTGGGAACACAGTGACCCTATGCGACTAACTGGCATGGGAAATCAGTGACCCCATGCGACTAACTGGCAGTGGAAACACAGTGACCTAATGTGACTAACTGGCAGCGGGAACACACTGACCTCATGCCACTAACTGGCAGTGGAAACACAGTGACCCCACGCCACTAACTGGCACAGAAACACAGTGACCCCATGCAACTAACTGGCAGTGGAAACAGCCACCCCATGCAACTAACTGGCAGTGGAAACAGTCACCCCATGTGACTAACTGGCAGCGGGAACACAGTGACAAGGTTAAACAAGACATACCACAGAATACTTCAAAGCTGCCATTACCACTGCTGGCTGTAAGATACTTCATCTGAGACAAGATTTATAAATTTTTTTTTCCCCGTCAACACTTCTACCCGGTGGATTTAGACTAAAACTAAAACAATAATTCGTAATTGGGGAATCCACCCCCCCCCCCCTTTCCCCACAATTCATAAAGCACAATAACCATTTTACACAGGTCACACAAAAATACAATAATAATTCCAGGTACTGATCAAAACAATGTTAATTTCTATACTGAATAAGAGCAGTTATCAATAAACATAAATGTAGCAAAAAATTTACAGGGTCACATCTCTGTGAGGCTAAAAATAAATGTCTACAGTCACCCAGTAACCAGTGGGTTTTTAGATTAACAAGATGACCAATTGGAAAATCACGCTGTCATCACTTATACTAATAAAGTAATTTTGTTTCGAGGAAAACCCCTCTAAATGCTATTTGTAGTGCATATAGCCATTGCCAGTCTCAAATATTTTTGCAGGTCCAAGCAAAAAAAACAGTGCTATTAGCTAGGCATCTCGTGATCAGTCGGAAAAGTTACTCTCTGGGAAGTGGGCTCAACGGGAAGTGCCAGTTTAGAAGGAGAGTAGATGAGCAAAGAGGGAGAGGAGGAAGAGGAAGAGAAGAGAAAAGAGAAGAAAAAGGAGAAGAAAGAGAAGGAGGGGAAAAGAAGAAGGAGCACAAGACACCAGAAGAACTCACCAGTTTCAACAGGACCTGCTCGCATTTCTCCAGTACTACCATCGGGACTCTGAGAATAGAGCACACAAACAAACAAGTGTCACTGCAAGCATGCATGACCTGTCGCACACATTCACTGAGTCAATCTATCAATCATCACCATTTAAGAATTGCATCGTTCGGTTCGTTTTATGGAGACCCCCTGGGATCATCGTCGGAGCTATGATGTTTGTGTTCTGGGCGATGCTCTCAACAGGCGGCTAGTTGTTCTGTGGAGATAGACCGAGCCATATGTGATAAAACTCGGCGCAATGGAGTCAATTCTCTTAACTGTAACCTCTACCCATCATTCAATCAATTGCCATCTTCTTGTAGGTCGGCTGTAACGGATCTCTGAAACTTGTCATCTCTTGTCCTAGGTTGCATACTCTCTCAGACTGCTGTCTTGACATGCTGCATATCTTTATATTATCTTCCCATCTGTATCGCTGTTTACCTTTTTCTTGCCTGGCTTTAGCCGTGCCTTCCATAATTTTGTTTATATACAGTTGTGTTAAGTCTTTTAATGTGTCCATATCACTTGTTGATTTTTAATTACTCGTACTGATTCCATTTTCATTTCAGCCTTTCTAGAATCTTTGTAAATGTACACTCGGCTGCGGATCCAAACAGCGCCAACCTTTTCTCATAAATTATTTTGACTTCCAAGTTGGCCCAGCCTTGTGTAGGTACCAGATAAAGTCTTGCATGGGAAGTAAAGGCGGCTGGCGTGATGATCAGACCATCCGCCGAGTGGTCTGTAAAATACAAGTCTAGCTGTATATGCCAATTGTGCACTGATTTCATGGAAAAGGGTCCTTGACGTTTTACTTGACCGTAAAAGATTCTTGTTCCCGTTAAATATAACATATTTGTGTGTATATATTCACATCAACAGAACAGCCAAAATAATAAAACTATGTAATCAAAAAGAGAAAGATATGAAAACAACTCACTGCAAACCACAGAATGAGAAGAGATACATTAACATATGTTGTGACAACTGAATAGGTTTACTGAATGAGAGACAGAGGAAAACAACAAGAAGAGCATTTTTAGCCTTTCATCATGCCATTTACCCTCATGGGATCCTGCGTCCCATTTGTTAGACAAAAAGAATAGATTCACTGCCTCCCTAACAAACATGTCATAAGAGGCAGCTAACTGGGGATTCTTCCTCTGAAGTCAGTGCATCTGCCTGGGTTACATAAAACCAACAGTCATGCAGACAAGTAAGCCAAATCTGCAAAATAATATGTATGCAAAATGTAAATTCTAGAAAAAGACTGAAGTCTAGAAGTGGGAGAACAACCAGAATCTTCCACCAGAGTTTACAGCTGGTGAGGCAAAGAAGAAAAATTCACTTAGACTTTAGTATTGTTTTAGAACCTGAGTTTTAGGTGCACATCTGTTTTAAAGATAAGGTTTATTATTATGCAGACTGTTGGTTCAACATTCTCAGGCAGGTGCAGTCCAACTTCAAAGAAAACCCACCTAATTAGTCAACTCTGACATCTTGCTTGTTAGGGGGGACAGTGGGTCTATTCTTGTTGCTTCCCCACAACGGGGTCCTGGGAACCTACACGGGAAAGAAGGGTGACATACACTGTGGAAACTACAGGTTAAAATGAAGAGGACTGACCTCACTGCACCGGGTTTTATTCCATATGGCATGGTCTTTCTACACAGAATGGCTAGTCCGCCTGCACAAACTCTGTTCTCCGGTGACAGAAGGTTCAATGAAAGACAGATAGAGGAAGACAGCCAGAAAAGAATGTGTAGCCTTTGACCACAGCATGGAAAAGTGTCAGCAAACAAACTGAAACGTGTTGTCGGAGAATGCTCGACAGGGATGATTCTTGGCAACTGGCTAATGAGACATCAAGAGACAATAGGTCAAAGTTCAGACAAGTGTCAAGACTGCCTTGGGACAGAGAGCCTTGTTACTAAAGTACAATGTAAGCAGAGCAAGAGGTCATGCACGCAAGCCATGGATAGACAGAATATCCAAGACAGTAAATATTAGCAATAACACAACACATTAAGGCTTGTTGCACCAGATGCCACAAAACTGATGCTGAAAGGCAGGGTTAGAGAAGAAGAAGAAGAAGAAGAAGAAGAAGAAGAAGAAGAAGAAGAAGAAGAAGAAGAAGAAGAAGAAGAAGAAGAAGAAGAAAAGAAGAAAAACAGGAGGAGGAAGAGGAGGAGAAAAAGAAAAAGAAGAAGAAGAAAAAGAAGAAGGTTCTAGCAGAAAATCAGATTGTTTATAATCTTTTAGTGACCAAAACCATCGAGTCACAAGGCCCCAGCATCCTCCGACTCAACCACCAACAACAGAAACTGTGGACCCCACTGGGTTACCTTTTCTTGGGATTTGACAAGATGTCCAGAAGGCTCTTCATCTTCTTATGGTTCTTCTTGCTCTCTGCAAGCAAATTGGGCAAACACTCATACATTAGCACCATAACACTCATTAAAGAACACATATCAGCACCTTCATATATATGAGGGATGACTAAAAAAATAACAGTGAAAACTTGTAGCATGAGCTTCCTTAACTTATTTGGTAACATGATGTTTTGTTGAAAAATCGAAAATTTTCTATTAAATATCGCCAACAACTTGATGTTTTGTAGAAATGAAAAATAAATGAAAGATACTCTTGTGCTTGCCAGATTTATTTAGCATACTCTGACCAAAACTTAAACACAAAACACTTAGATTAGGTTTAGGTGACGGATCAACATTATGGCAAAAGGAGTAACCCATAAGTGCTCCATCCTACTTCTGACTCAAGCCTGAGTCTGAAGAATCTCAGCACAGTGCACAAACTCGGTAACACCGGCAAGAATCTTGAAATGCTTTGGGTAGATTTTTAGCTCCAAATTTTTCCTGGGCAGCGACGCTAGGCTACTCTTTTTGATTTCCAACTGCCAAGAGATTTTTTTACATGCGCAACAATACACATGGGCGTCTGATCTTACTACCCTGAAACCAGGGGAAATTACTAGTAGTCCATGTGAAAAAATCCCAGACTTCACAGGGCGCCTGAACCCGGGTCCTCCAGCACTCGAGGCGGATTCCACGCCTCTAGACCATGCAGCCCTCCTCCAAAACACTTAAAGAGATGTTTGAGACATGTGGACAATAGTCAGTAACACATCAAATGTGTTTTGGGACTGAAAGAGTAAGAAAAAAAACTAGGTTAATATGGACACAATTTTAGTACCAACAGGAATTTATCAAAAATTTAATTTTTCCACAAACATTTGATATTTTCCCTCTGGAATTTGTGTTAACAAGGTTTTACTGTATTCATAAAAAAAATTACAAGCATGCATTAACTGGTATGAGTAAACAACAGATAGGATTAAACGGTATGGCACAATCACTTAGGTGGAGCATGCATTAACTGGTATGAGTAAAGAACAGATAGGATTAAATGGTAAGGCACAATCACTTATGTGGAGCCTGCATTAACTGGTATGAGTAAAGAACAGATAGGATTAAATGGTAAGGCACAATCACTTATGTGGAGCCTGCATTAACTGGTATGAGTAAAGAACAGATGGGATTAAATGGTAAGGCACAATCACTTATGTGGAGCATGCAATAACTGGTATGAGTAAAGAACAGATGGGATTAAATAGTAAGGCACAATCACTTATGTGGAACATGCATTAACTGGTATGAGTAAAGAACAGATGGGATTAAATGGTAAGGCACAATCACTTATGTGGAGCATGCAATAACTGGTATGAGTAAAGAACAGACGGGATTAAATAGTAAGGCACAATCACTTATGTGGAGCATGCATTAACTGGTATGAGTAAAGAACAGATGGGATTAAATGGTAAGGCACAATCACTTATGTGAAGCATGCAATAACTGGTATGAGTAAAGAACAGACAGGATTAAATGGTAAGGTTAAATCACTTTTGTGGAGCATGCATTAACTGGTATGAGTAAAGAACAGACAGGATTAAATGGTAAGGTTAAATCACTTTTGTGGAGCATGCATTAACTGGTATGAGTAAAGAACAGATGGGATTAAATGGCAAGGCACAATCACTTATGTAGAACATGCAATAACTGGTATGAGTAAAGAACAGACGGGATTAAATGGTAAGGTTAAATCACTTATGTGGAACATGCAATAACTGGTATGAGTAAAGAACAGACGGGATTAAATGGTAAGGTTAAATCACTTATGTGGAACATGCAATAACTGGTATGAGTAAAGAACAGACGGGATTGAATGGTAAGGCACAATCACTTATGTGGAGTATGCATTAACTAGTATGAGTAAAGAACAGACGGGATTAAACGGTAAGGCACAATCACTTATGTGGAGCATGCAATAACTGGTATGAGTAAAGAACAGATGGAATTCAACGGTAAGGCACAATCACTTATGTGGAGCATGCAATAACTGGTATGAGTAAAGAACAGATGGGATTCAACGGTAAGGCACAATCACTTATGTGGAATTTTCAGAGAGAACTAAACACATTCTAGATTCCCCTTACACTCTTTATCTTCCCTCTTCCCCATGTGGGTTCTAAGGTCCCACTGTGGGTAAAGATGGGGAAAAGGGGGGGGGGGGGCAGGGCAGAATAGACTTTCTTACTGCCCCCTAATAAGCATGTCATAAGAGTAGACTAATTAGGGGTTTCCATCAAAGTCAGACTGCACCGGCGGAAGAAGCAGGGAACCAACAGTTTGCCAGATGTGTAAAATTGATGTGCATGCAAAGCTCAAATTCTGGAGCAAGACAAATCCACAACTGGAAGAACAACTAGAACTTTCCACTGAAGTTTACCGCCAGGGAAAACATGAAGAAGATCTTCCCTATAGCTCTTTCTATCTCTTAATTAATCCTCTTTTCTTTAACCCACCCTCTCCCTGCATTCTTCAGAATGTTTTTTCTTCTTCTTTTCCTCTTTTCACCTACCCCCTTCTCAAACTCTCACTAGAATATTACCTTCATCATTCTTTTTCTCCAGGTCCATGATAAAACTCCGCAGGGGTTCAATGTACCGGGACAGCTTGTCCAGCTTCTTGACATACTCCACCTCTTCCTGGGACGTGCTGGGGGGACCGGGGCTGGGGTCAACCACAGTGGTACCTGGGTAGAGACAACAATCTTGTGTTTGAAACAGATACAAGTCTGACAACAAACATGTAACATTTGAAACGGAAACAAGAATACAAACTAAGAAACGATCTTTAAAACAGAAACAGGTCTTCAAGAAAAGACACAATCCCTGATTTGGAAACAAGTCTTCAAACTAATACACAAGAAGACCGAGAGCAACAAAGAGATAGATACTTTATATAGCTGGCACCTGCAAAAAGTTGAGCAAATCTACCAGTAGAGCCACCCGAGAAAAGCAAGACAAATACAGAAAACCACGACACTGGGCTACAGCCTGGTATCAGTGAGACGGCAAAAGAAGAACAAAAACAATTCTTCAAACTAAGATATCTTCTTCTTTCTTTTTTTTTCTCCAGCTTGAAATAGATTATCTATATCAATGTTGTCTCTGGTATGAACTTCACTGTCTTTTGTAACTGGCCATAAGTTTTGCCTTGATGTGTTTGTATTTGGGACAGTCTTGGAGGACATGACCTGTTGTCTCAGGTGCCAATCCACATGTGCACATGGCTGGTTTGTCGATTAAAAATTTTGTGTATATGTGGCTGAGAAGTTGACTGTGTCCTGATCTAAGGTGTAGAATAATAATTTGCTCTTGTCTGTCAATAAAATGTTAATCAGCTTGGGCATGTTTTGGTAGCTTTCTGATAGATCTGATTATTCTCTTCTTTTGTTGATAAGAGACTGGTAGATCATTTGCACCTTCCTTAGCTAGTTTATCAGCTCTTTCATTTCCAGGAACTCTATAGTGGGATGGCATCCACTGCATAATTAAATTACACCGGCTGCCTAGTTTGGAGAGTAGTGTTCATATACCATGTAGTTTTCCAGACTTGAGTGCCTGCAGCACTGTTCTTGCATCTGTCAGGAATACCACGGGTTGTGAAATATGTCGTATATTGAAGTTTCTCTGCTGCTATTTTGACGGCTTGAACTTCTGCTTCATAGTTGTGACAGTGCTTTCGTGTAGGTATTGTGGCTATATATCTGGTTGCTCAATATACACTCCTGCTCCTACATTTCTGCTTGCATTTTGTGCTGACCTTTCCGTATAGACATGAACCCAAAGATTATGTGGATATTCGTATCAAGTAGAGCGAGGGTGGCTGTTTTACACTATACACTGATTTATTCTTCCTTGTTAAATAATCCTTTTACTTCTGTCTGGATGTGTATTGGCAACTTATAATCCTCTTTCCAAGGGGACTGATCTGGAATAGCATTTAAGGGGCTATCAGTTGCAGGCAGATAATTGGTTTGCAGAGTCGCTGGGCCTGATGGATGAAACTGCTTCTTTTTAGTCATCCCATTGTAGATTTTGGAATCTTTCTTTTCTTTCATAGTGTGTTCAGGCATGCTAAAAGACTTATCTGCTTGTATTAGTATCTTAGTGTCTTTTTGTTCTGTCCGTGACTGAGTCATCGCCATCTTCAACAACACACATATAGGTGTTGATTTCATCCTGCCTGTTATGACTCTGAGCACTTGATTGTGCGCCTTGTCTAACTTTTGTAAGTGTGGTTTTTGACGCTGAACTCCATGCAGTTAACCTGTGTTCAAGGTGTGCTCGTACACTTTGTTGATAAACTTTCCCAAGTATTTTCCCATTTGCACTCAGATATAACCTTTGAAACAGAAACAAATCTTCAAACTAAAATATAATCTTTGAAACAGAAACAAATCTTCAAACTAAAATATAATCTTTGAAACAGAAACAAATCTTCAAACTAAGACACAATCTCTGACACAGAAATAAGTATTCAAACTAAGATATCATCTTTAAAAAAAAAAAAAAACAAGTCTTCAAACTAAGACAATCTCTGAAACAGAAATAAGTATTCAAACTAAGATATCATCTTTAAAAAAAAAAAAAAAGTCTTCAAACTAAGACAATCTCTGAAACTGAAGCAAAGTCTACAAACTATCAGCTCATGTCACTATCTAGCAGACGTGACTCACTCACCTGGAGTGTGCAGCATGGTGTTTGGAGACGGAGCTCCCATTCTCATGGCTGGAGACATCATCACATGTGGGGAAGGCACCATGGCCAGTGGGGACCTGTTTATAACCATAGAGATTTAAGTATTCATCAGGTACAGCCTACACTGTGTAGTATCCAACAAATCTGCAAATTGACTGTTTCTCTGCCCATCACCTTCAGTCTAATATGGCTGATAGAAGGGCAGTCCATTATCGCACTGAATTGTTTTTCGCCTCTGATCATTGCTTGCAAACACAGTTTTCACATATAAACTAGAAGCCACAGTTTTGCTTCCTAAACTACTGAGTTAGGTGCTTGGTGCAACACTGTGAGCCTTGTTTTGTGTGTAATACTTTTAATTTGTGCCCGAAGCAGTTTATGCCTTGACATGTGCCTAATGCACTATACTGTGCATGTACTGCCAAACTGTCATGACTGAGTACTTCCATCAATGAGAAACTGCAGTTCTGGTGGCAACTGTTGATGTTGGCATCTGTAGAGACTGCCTTGAGCATTCACTAATTGCTCATTAGCTTTAAATTGAGACAATGATGGGATTTTTAATGTGCTTTTTACTGCCAAATGAACAGAGCAATAAGGAATGACCCGTTTGCTATGAAATTAAAGCCTTGACAATCTTTGCTCCGGAAGCATACAAACTGGCATATGCAATCATGTACCCCACAAACCACTGATAGGGAAGCCATGGTGGCTCAGCGGCTAGCAGACACACCTTCTGGCACAGGAGTCATGTTTTTAAATCTCATTTAATTCTTTGAGTCCCAGGGGGTTTAGCATCACAGGCCCAAGGGGTAGACACGAGAGACTTAAAATCGGCGCATCATGCGTTTATTGGGCCTCTAGGTAGGAATCTATGAACGTGTCATGCGTTCTTTGGGACTCAAAGAGTTAAAGTAGATAAAAAATATATTAAAAAAATTAACATTAAAACTGACCAGGGTTTTCATGTCTAAAATGGGTGCCAGGCGAAGTAATTCACCCAAGGAATGCCAGTTCCTTCTCATAATCATCATGCAGGAGGTCCTGTGTTCTTTCATCCTTACTTCTTTTCTTCTGCTGCCGTGGCTTTGTTACAATGTGTTTAACTTTATCTTCAGCGATCTCTGCTCACTTGCTTAATCCCCTGTGGGTCACAAAGTGGGATGTCATCTGCAGGTCCCTGAGATTGTTTCCCCAAGGCTTAGAGGTCAGGTCTGCTGGGTGTGGCCATATGTTGCTTCGCAGCTCCTCTAACAGAGGACACTCTTACAAGATTGAGAGTCTGTTCAGCACAAAAGACACTGATGGAGAACTGTTGTGGTTCATGCCTAATTTATATGAGTATTTGTCAAGTTTGTTGTGTCCAGTGCATAAGCGAAAAATTGTGACTTGGTTTGTTCTGTCCAAATGACTGATGAAATCTTGTTCTTGGTCATAACCTCTGTCCATTTTCCAAAATTTGTTAATGATACTATTTGAATTTCTTCAAATGTTACTGGCAATTTGTGTGTAATATGTACATTGACTCACACTGAGGCAGATTTCTTCAAAACTGACATTGATTCATTGCCAGGCTGACCCAGCCTGAAATGAGACCAGGTAATTTTCTAGGAAACAGAGACGGTCGACCTACTGTTGACAACATCCCCCATCGAGCACCGGCTGGTCTATAAAAATATAAGTCTGGTTATCCCAGAGCGGGGCACTCGCTTGCCATGGCAATCTAAAATGTTGCCGAAGACTGAGAAAGTAGTCTAAAGCCATGTGGATTTAAAAAGCAAGGGGAACTACCATATTATTATCCCAAGAAACTCATGATGGAAGCCACAGAATACCATGAATAAAGAAGATTCTGACATTTTAAAAGATATGAACATCAAGGAAGATTGGCTAAAACACAGCATCTTGTCTCGGAAGCTGAAATATTTTGGTCATATCAAGCGCCACAGCGGATTTGAAAACACAATAATAGCAGAAGGCATTGTACCAGGAAGGAGGGACAAGGGCTGACTAACACAAAGAAGGGCACAGGATAAAAGTGACTCCTTGAACATAAAAGTACATGAAGCAGGAGAGCTGGCAAGAGACTGAGTTTCTTTCAGGTAGACCGTGATAAGAGCAACGTTCTGCAAAGGATCTGCCACATAATGATGATGATACCACTGATGTAAAAATTTTATTTAGTTTTTAAAAAAAAATCTTCAAATGCAGTAAAATACCACACATCTGATAAAATACATCACTACAAACAAGAAACACCACAGATCTGATAAAATACAACACTACAAACTAGAAACTCCACAGACCTGATAAAACACAACACTACAAACTAGAAACACCACAGATCTGATAAAATACAACACTACAAATGAGAAACACCACAGACCTGACTAAATACAACACAACAAACTAGAAACACCACAGATCTGATAAACACACTACAAACTAGAAACACCACAGACCTGATAAAACACCACACTACAAACTAGAAACACCACAGATCTGATAAAATACAACACTACAAACTAGAAACACCACAGATCTGATAAAATACAACACTACAAACTAGAAACACCACAGATCTGATAAAATACAACACTACAAACTATTGAGGTGGGAGGGTGTCCCACTGGTCCTCTAACATGCATGGTGTAAACAGCGACTCAGCATATGTATTCAAATGTGTTGGGCCAAAAGATTGCAAATATCGCAGCCAACACAGAAGAAGACATGAAGCTATAGACAACGACAGACTGCAACACCTACGCTGACGACCCTAGGTAACTAGTTGAACAGCAGCAGTTAGGACAACAGTTCTTACCCTGTAGCTGGTGACTGTATTGGCATGCCAGGTCCCTGCATGTTCACGTCACGTACCTGAAACCACAGTTCAATACTAGCTGCAGACACCATACGTAATGGAAAAACTAAACAGATTAACTGTAATGGGGGATATTTTGACCCAGTTTAGGATGGTTAGGAAGGCCCAAAGCTGACCTAAAACACCGAGATAGTCCAGATACTTGGATTAAACGAGAATCTGGAGATAGGTGACTAACCACTGGTTATCACGGGAACCACGATGATGCGACCCAAGGTCGCCACGGGAAAAGTAAAGGACCACCACGTGTTGTCACGTGAAACGAATCCGTGGTATAAGTCAGACTTGACTCTGGTCAAGTTTAGTTTGTGTCGACCTGTTGGAGTGAGAGGACGTGCGACTGAAAGTGAGAATGTCTACGTGAGTGCCTGTGGAGAAAGGAGACCCTGCCGACGAAGTGTGAAGCCGAGATCGACCATGCCAGTGTGTGAGATGGCCAGAACCTCAACGTGAATCCATGGGAGCCAACTTTGGTCAGTGAATACTTGAAGAAGACTGTTCGTTGAAGGCTGCGTGAGTTTGGGTACGAGAGCTGTTCACTAGGACACCGACCGGACATTCTAGTTTGTAAGTGTAAATACGTCAATAAATTCATGTCTCGTAAGCTCACATCGGTGTCGGCTTGTGCCAGTTGTGTAACGTGGAGCGTGTGAGAAGATCATCCACCACACACGCATGAACACTGCCGAGACAACAAGAAGAAACACACACCACTTATTACATTAACATATTTTATACTGTCTGCTTCCTTTCATTACTCCTTCTTACATGATTTGTTTCATAATAGCTTTTCCTGCCAAAAAATTACCATTTGTTTTCCCTGTTGTATAGTTAAACTTGTCAGAACAACACAGCCGGTTATCTTTTCAATGATTGATTGAAATTTGTGGTTGTATTTGTGCAAGTCCTTTCCTTTCCTCAAAGTGAGCTTTCAAATCATAACTTGTGTAGTGTTTATAATCATAATTTGTGTTGCATTTATAATAATAATTTGTGCAGTTTTTACAATTATAATTTGTGCTGCATTTAAAAAAAAAAATTTATGTTGTGTTTATATTCATAGTTTGTGCTGTGTCTGTCATCATAATTTGTGTTGCATTTATAATGTGCGCTGTGTTTATGAACATAATTTACGTATTGTTTATATTCATTATTTGTGCTGTGTTTACAATCATAATCTGTGCTCTATTTATAATCATAATTTGTGATGTGCCTAAAATCCTAATTTGTGTTGAGCTTATAATATTAATTTGTGTTGGATTTATAATAATAATTTGTGGTGTGTTTAAAATCATAATTTGTGCTATGTTTATAATTATAGTTTGTGCTATGTTTATAACCATCATCTATGCTGTGTTTATAAACATAATTTGTATTGTGTTTGCCTGAGAGGCAAAGAACCAACAGTGTGCATACGAATAAGCCAGATTTGCAGAGCGAACATGTACACAACACTTAGGTTCTGGAACATGACAGAATCCAGAGATGTACGAACAGCCAGAATTTTCCCTTGGAGTTTACAGCTATTGAACATGAAAAGGTGTACTTACTGGCATATATGATCCTTGCATGTTCATTGGCACCATATTTCTGGTGTTTCCTGAGTGTTGGTAACCCATCTGGAGAAGAAAAAGGCAAATATTCACATCACCATCCCTGTTATAAAACGCACTGGAATGTTCTCACCAAGTTTTATTTCTATGGCACTATATGAAAGTCACCAAAGGGAAAATATGACAATGTTCACCGAAGTGAATTGACATAGTTGTTATTTATCCTTTTATAATATGCCAATGGCATTCACATGAATTCCTAGTCCAGATGAAGCAACTTTTTTTCTTACATAACTACACATATTTTTCAGAGATCTCAATGCTCAACCACTAATGTCACTTGGTGAGTGTCAATGGTTTTAGGTCACCTGGTGTAATGTCAATGATTTTAGGTCACTTGGTGTAGTGTCAATGATTTTAGGTCACTTGGTGTAGTGTCAATGATTTTAGGTCACCTGGTGAAGTGTCAATGATTTTAGGTCACCTGGTGTAGATTTTTAAGAGCATGCATCTTTCCCATTGCAACATACGCCTGTGAGACCTGGACACTTACTAAACAAGCGGAACAGCGCATAAATGCATTTGAATATAAATGTTACAGACAGGTTCTAAGAATATCTTGGGTAAAGAAAAGAACAAATGCATCCATACTTCAAGAGCTGAATATTGAAGAGGGTTGGCTAGTAAAGACAATAAAACAAAGAAAATTGAAATATTTTGGTCACTTGAAACGTCATGGAGGTCTAGAGAGAACAATAATGGAGGGGTATATGCCTGGGAAGAGAGGAAGAGGAAGGCCAAGGAGAAGATGGGTGCAGGATGTGGCAGATGATCTCCAGATGGGTGTATCAGACGCAGGACATCTTGCTCATGATAGGAAGGTTTTCCGGAGGGTTGTTATGGCAGCGAGGTTCCGCGAGGGACATGCTACTGAATGAATGAATGGTGTAGTGTCAATGATTTTAGGTCACCTGGTGTAGTGTCAATGGTTTTAGGTCACCTGGTGTAGTGTCAATGATTTTAGGTCACTTGGTGTAGTGTCAATGATTTTAGGTCACCTGGTGTAGTGTCAATGGTTTTAGGTCACCTGGTGTAGTGTCAATGATTTTAGGTCACTTGGTGTAGTGTCAATGGTTTTAGGTCACTTGGTGTAGTGTCAATGGTTTTAGGTCACCTGGTGTAGTGTCAATGGTTTTAGGTCACCTGGTGTAGTGTCAATGATTTTAGGTCACCTGGTGTAGTGTCAATGGTTTTAGGTAACCTGGTGTAGTGTCAATGATTTTAGGTCACTTGGTGTAGTGTCAATGATTTTAGGTCATTTGGTGTAGTGTCAATGATTTTAGGTCACCTGGTGTAGTGTCAATGGTTTTAGGTCACCTGGTGTAGTGTCAATGGTTTTAGGTCACCTGGTGTAGTGTCAATGATTTTAGGTCACCTGGTGTAGTGTCAATGGTTTTAGGTCACTTGGTGAAGTGTCAATGGTTTTAGGTCACCTGGTGTAGTGTCAATGATTTTAGGTCACTTGGTGTAGTGTCAATGATTTTAGGTCACTTGGTGTAGTGTCAATGGTTTTAGGTCACTTGGTGTAGTGTCAATGGTTTTAGGTCACTTGGTGTAGTGTCAATGATTTTAGGTCACTTGGTGTAGTGTCAATGATTTTAGGTTACTTGGTGAAGTGTCAATGATTCACCGAACTTTCTCTTCTTTTTTTGTCCGACTACTTATGCCCTAAAGCATGGCTGAGAGGAGTTAGATGTAGTTTTCTGATTTTTGCTAGCAGCTTAGCTTGTGTTAATGTCATGCTGCGTTCCTGCAGTGCCTCTTTTACTCCCTCCACCTATTTCTTTCTTGGTCGCCCTCTTGCTTTGTAGCCTGCTGTTCTCTGGTACTACACCCGAGCTGCTGGCTTTGATTCTTTGATGTTCTATGAAATCATCTACTGCTACTGTGCCTACCATTATCTTTGAATCTTCATTGGTGAACTCTGCCTCTTCTGGTGTTACCCACCACATTTCTTTTTCCTTTAATCCCACGTGCTCCCATTTGATGTTTATTATTCATACTCAGTCTAAATCAGAATATTTTTCTTTTATCAGGTCTAACCAATCTTCTTTTGGCAGAATTTTAAAAATAACTAGGCCATAAAACTGGTATCAGAAATATTGTCTGATGTGTAAAAGCTTCGGTGTGATATTGATCACATTACCCATTAGGTGCCGATGTCTTTATATTAAAAAAAGACATGTGTAGAAATGGTTTTTTTGTGTGGTTACATCACACTAAAAGATGTGGGAATCGCCTTGGCAGAGCGGCTAGACGTGCCGGGCTTTTCTTAAAAAATGACCTTGGCTCCCAGGTCGACCCAGCCTTGAGTGGGTACCGGGAAGTAGAGGCGGCCGGCGTGATGCTGACCACATCACCCATCTTGTGCCATTGATCTATAAAAATATAGGTCCAGCCCTATATGCCTAAAGGCGTGGAAAAGGGTCCTTTACTTTACACTTAAAGATATAGGATTTAGAATCACCTTGGAAGGAAAAAGTGAATGCAGGTGAGCAAGAGATAGACAGTGATTTGAGCGGGGGAAAAACATAAAGAGAAGGATTAATATTAAATGATAGAATATACAGGCAGGCGGAGGGAGGGAGAGGGCAGCAATAAATATAAATAGGATATGTATATAGACATACATATATATAGTGAGATAGAAAGAAAGAAAGAGAGAGAGAGAGAGAGAGAGAGAGAGAGAGAGAGAGAGAGAAAGAGAGAGAGCTGAAGATACACTTCTTTTTGCCTTTCTAGCCCCCAATGAGGCACAGGCCCTCAGCCAACTCATGGCAAGTTTTTCTGTTCTCCACCATCACATGCAGCTCTCTCCATCTTTTTAACTTCACTCTCTAGTTCCCTTCTCCATGTGTTTTTTTTTTTTTTTTTGGGTCTGCCTTTATTTCTATGCGCCCGTGGGTTCTGGTGCAAAGACATTCTAGTTATATTGTTCTCAGGTTTTCTCTACGTTTATCCTATCCAAGAAGATACACTGCTGCCTACTTACTCTATAGGCTGTGGTATGCATAGCCTTTACTGGTACCCCAGAATATCGACAGGGGTGAGACTGAGTGTGAAACAGAAAGTCTCACAAATGGACTCAGTGAGAGAGACAGAGAGAGAGAAACAAAGCTGGAAATACACTGCAGTCTACTTACTCTATAGGCTGTGGTATGCATAGCCTTTACTGGTACCCCAGATATAGACAGGGGTGAGACTGAGCGTGAAACAGAAAGACACACAAATGGACAAAGTGAGAGAGACACAGAGAGAAACAAAGCTTGAAATACACTGCAGTCTACTTACTCCCTGGGCTGTGCTGTGCATGGACTGTCCTGGTACACCAGGCATGGACTGAGGCGAGGTCACCATAAAAGCATCCTGTCGCTTCAAGAAATGATCACAATTAATTCATGCAAGCAGACACAAACTAGCTTTTCCCTAAACAACAGTCATAAGCTTTTTCCTAAACAAATGTAAGTAGTTTTTCCATAAACAACTGTCATTAGCTTTTCCCTAAACAACTGTTATTAGCTTTGAATGAAACACTAAATAAATTGATACAACAACGTGACAAGAACAGCAACTACAACATAAAACCCTAGCGGTTCTGACATAAACAGAACAGAGAACATACATGGAGTTGCGGTGGCCTCTGCGGCATCCCCCGGCCATGCTGCATTATGGGCTGCCGAACCATCTGAACTTGCTGCTGGTTGCCAGGAGCTATTCCATGCATGCTTTGCATCATTCCACCTGTTTAACAATCGCAGGAAATCAATCAGGTATAAACGTAAAGAAATCACAATAGTTAAACGATACTTCCCTGAGATGACCCTTACAACTGAAGGCAATAGGATGAGTTGCATGATTCTTTGTTAGTAAAAAGGGTCTCAATGGTGAAGTAGTCAAGCCTTGCACTATGAAAGTCATGCATTTTTTTTTCACAAAACCGAGGTTTCGGTTCATGAATGAAATTTTTAGAGATCCCTAGAGATCTTCGCTAAAGCTATGGAATTCGTGCTTTGTGTATCATTTCTGGCAAATGCCTGCCATTTTGCAGAGAGAGCCATATGAGATCAAACCCAGTGCATTCAAGTCGATCCTCTCGACTTTAACTATGTTGGTAAATGATGGAAGTTGGCATCTGTGGCTTAGCACTGCGTATATGCTTCGTAATTTTAGCTCAATTCAACTCTAGCTGTGGGCAATCTGGCAGCACACTGTTCTGTAGTAATTCTGCCAATGGTATCAAGAGATGAATGTTCAGAAAGTAATGGTATCAAGAGATGAATGTTCAGAAAGCAATGGTATCAAGAGATGAATGTTCAAGCAATGGTATCAAGAGACGAATGTTCAGAAAGCAATGTTATCAAGAGATAAATGTTCAAGCAATGGTATCAAGAGATGAATGTTCAGAAAGCAATGGTATCAAGAGATGAAGGTTCAAGCAATAGTATCAAGAAACCAATGTTCAGAAAGCAATAGTATCAAGAGATGGATGTTCAAGCAATGGTATCAAGAGACGAATGTTCAGAAAGCAATGGTATCAATAGATGAATGTTTAGAAAGCAATGGTATCAATAGATGAATGTTTAGAAAGCAATGGTATCAATAGATGAATGTTCAAAAAGCAATGGTATCAAGAGACAAATTTTCAGAAAGCAATGGTATCAAAAGATGAATGTTCAGGAAGCAATGGTATCAAGAGATGAATGTTCAGAAAGCAATGGTATCAAGAGATGAATGTTTAGAAAGCAATGGTATCAAGAGATGAATGTTTTAGAAAGCAATGGTATCAAAGATGAATGTTCAGAAAGCAATGGTAACAGACGAATGTTCAGAAAGCAATGGTATCAAGAGACAAATGTTCAGAAAGCAATGGTATCAAAAGACAAATGTTCAGAAAGCAATGGTATCAAGAGACAAATGTTCAGAAAGCAATGGTATCAAGTGATGAATGTTCAGAAAGCAATAGACAAATGTTCAGAAAGCAATGGTATCAAAAAGACGAATGTTCAGAAAACAATGGTATTAAGAGATGGAATGTTCAGAAGCAATGGTATCAAGAGATGAATGTTCAGAAACAATGGTTCAAGAGATGAATGTTCAGTGGTATCAAGAAACGAGAATGTCCAGAAAACAATGGTATCAAGAGATTAATGTTCAGAAAGCAAATGGTATTAAAAGATGAATGTTCAGAAAGCAATGGTATCAAGAGACGAATGTTCAGAAAGCAATAGTATCAAGAGATGAAATGTTCAGAAAGCAATGGTATCAGAAAGGTATCAAGAGATGAATGTTCAGAAAGCACAATGGTATTTCAAGAGATGAAAATGTTCAGAAAGCAATGGTATCAAGAGATGAATGTTCAGAAAACAATGGTATCAAGAGGTATGTTCAGAGATGAATGTTCAGAGAGCAAAAGCAATGGTATCAAGAGACGAATGTTCAGAAAACAATGAAAGCAATGTATCAAGAGATGAATGTTCAGAAATAGCAATGGTATTCAGAAAAGTATCAAAAGACGATGTTCAGAAAACAATGGTATCAAGAGATGAATGTTCAGAAAGCAATGGTATCAAGAGATGAATGTTCAGAAAGAGATGAATGTTCAAAAGCAATGGTATCAAGAGACGAATGTCCAGAAAACAATGTTCAGAATGAATGTTCAGAAAGCAATGGTATCAAAAGATGAATGTTCAGAAAAAAATGGTATCAACAGACGAATGTTCAGAAAGCAATGGTATCAACAGACGAATGTTCAGAAAGCAATGGTATCAAGAGATGAATTTTTAGAAAGCAATGGTATCCAAAGATGAATTTTTAGAAAGCAATGGTATCAAGAGACAAATGTTCAGAAAGCAATGGTATCAAGAGATGAATTTTTAGAAAGCAATGGTATCCAAAGATGAATTTTTAGAAAGCAATGGTATCAAGAGACAAATGTTCAGAAAGCAATGGTATCAAGAGACAAATGTTAAGAAAGCAATGTTATCAACAGACGAATGTTTAGAAAGCAATGGTATCAAGAGACAAATGTTCAGAAAGCAATGGTATCAAGAGACAAATTTTCAGAAAACAATGGTATCAAGAGATGAATGTTCAGAAAGCAATGGAATCAAGTGATGAATGTTCAGAAAGCAATAGTATCAAGATACAAATGTTCAGAAAGCAATGGTATCAAAAGACGAATGTTCAGAAAACAATGGTATTAAGAGATGAATGTTCAGAAAGCAATGGTATCAAGAGACGAATGTTCAGAAAACAATGGTTCAAGAGATAAATGTTCAGAAAGCAATGGTATCAAGAGACGAATGTCCAGAAAACAATGGTATCAAGAGATAAATGTTCAGAAAGCAATTATATCAAGAGATGAATGTTCAGAAAGCAATGGTATTAAAAGATGAATGTTCAGAAAACAATGGTATCAAGAGATGAATGTTCAGAAAACAATGGTATCAAGAGATGAATGTTCAGAAAGCAATGGTATCAAGAGACGAATGTCCAGAAAACAATGGTATCAAGAGATGAATGTTCAGAAAGCAATGGTATTAAAAGATGAATGTTCAGAAAACAATGGTATCAAGAGATGAATGTTCAGAAAGCAATTATATCAAGAGATGAATGTTCAGAAAGCAATGGTATCAAGAGACAAATGTTCAGAAAGCAATGGTATCAAGAGATGAATTTTTAGAAAGCAATGGTATCAATAGATGAATGTTTAGAAAGCAATGGTATCAAGAGACAAATGTTCAGAAAGCAATGGTATCAAGAGACAAATGTTAAGAAAACAATGGTATCAAGAGATGAATGTTCAGAAAGCAATGGTATTAAAAGATGAATGTTCAGAAAACAATGGTATCAAGAGATAAATGTTCAGAAAGCAATGTTATCAACAGACGAATGTTCAGAAAGCAATGGTATCAAGAGACAAATGTTCAGAAAGCAATGGTATCAAGAGACAAATGTTCAGAAAACAATGGTATCAAGAGATGAATGTTCAGAAAGCAATGGTATCAAGTGATGAATGTTCAGAAAGCAATAGTATCAAGATACAAATGTTCAGAAAGCAATGGTATGAAAAGACGAATGTTCAGAAAACAATGGTATTAAGAGATGAATGTTCAGAAAGCAATGGTATCAAGAGACGAATGTTCAGAAAACAATGGTATCAAGAGATGAATGTTCAGAAAGCAATGGTATCAAAAAATGAATGTTCAGAAAACAATGGTATCAAGAGACGAATGTTCAGAAAACAATGGTATCAAGAGATGAATGTTCAGAAAGCAATGGTATCAAAAGATGAATGTTCCGAAAGCAATGGTATCAAAAGATGAATGTTCAGAAAGCAATGGTAAACAACCCAGTATAAATCTGGTGAGTATAATCACAAACAAATAAACAAAAAAAAATTTTTCCCCAATTGGTTGGTTCTATGGAGGATACACACAATTTGTTTTTTAATCAAGTGAGGGTGAAGTGTCAGTACACACAATCATGCATGCTGCCGGAGACGGCAAGACATGAACAAACAAGGACACCTCTGCCTGGTGACAAAGCACTTCCTAATAAAGATATTCATGTTATTCTTCTTCGTGTTCATCGACTGTACACTCCAGCACAAAGTCCTGAGTGCTCGTCCATCTCCAGATTTATAATATTTTTTTTTTTAAAGAAAAGTGCACATTTTTCCTAGATTTATTATAATTACTACGGTTTACTGCAGCTAGAAATGTGCATATTCCAGTGATGGTATTGAAAATTGTGATGCTATTGATAATGTTTACTATTATCTGATGTATGAATGAAATGATGCCTGAAAGAAGAAAGACTAGAAGGGCAGAATGTTAGACAGGCCTGCGTGCCAAATTCTTCATCCTTTGAAAACAAAGTCTGTTCATTCTTCTTCACTCCTCTTTTACTTCAGGTATCGAGGAAGATACAAGGTTCTGCTTCTGGCTGCCTCGACCATAGAAACAATGTGTGTTGTAGAGATTTTTAATTATATCTGTCCATTTTGTTCTTGGTCTACCTTGTTCTGTTCTTTTTTTCTTTTCGTGTATGCCTTCTATGGTAAGGCATCACAAGTCATTCCTTCTATTGGATCAGTAATCTGATCTGCTGTCTTTGTATGTAATTTAGAATTGGTTCTGTACTAACGTTTTCTCCAATCTCCTCTTTACCGGTCTCACTGAGTTTTGGTAACTCAGAAGAACTAGACTAGAAAAATACTACTCCCTGCAAGACCAGACAAGTGGAACACCTTGTTTGGAGGAAAAGAACAGCTTGTGAATATATGTAAATTCCACTACATGGCACTGAACCAAAGGATGAAAGCTTACGCACTGCTGGATCAATAACAATAACTCTTCTAGTCTCTCCTGCACCCCTTCTCAGACATCCCATTTTCATGGTTACATATTTTATTATCTGATTCTTCCTTGATAAAAAAGCAAGACAAGGAAAATTAGGACAGATCTGTATGACAGATGAGCAGACCTTGCTGGGATCGCCCCATTCCTCCACTCCCTTGGCCTGCCAGATTCTGCAAGGCATTGATGGGATCCTGGTCCTGCATGACTCCCTGGGTTCGCATCCCTCCAGACATCCCTGCCTGACCCATGTTGGGGGGCACCATCCCGGGCTGACCCAGCTTCTTGTCCTTGTCTGAAACAGAAACAAGGCAAAAAAGACTTCATCATCATCAGCAAGAAATAGAAGCACACAAAACTTCATCAGCAAGATACACAAGAATTCAGAAACAAGATACACAAGTACACACAGGACTTCAGCAAGAAGATACACAAGTACACATACAGCACACAAGACTTCAGCAACAAGATACACAAGTACACATACAGCACACAAGACTTTAGCAACAAGATACACAAGTACACATACAGCACACAAGACTTCAGCAACAAGATACACAAGTCTTCATCAGCAAGATAAACAAGACTTCAGCAACAAGATACACACACAACACCCAAGACTTCAGCAACATGATACACAAGTACAAACACACAAGACTTCAGCAACAAAATACACAAGTACATACACACAAGACTTCAGCAACAAAATACACACACGCACAGAACACAAGACTTCCGCAACAAGATAAACAAGTACACACACACAGCACACAAGACTTTAGCAACAAGATACACAAGTACACACACAGCTCACAAAAACTTCAGCAAGAAGATACACAAGTACACACACACACAGCACACAATACTTCAGCAATAAGATACACAAGTACACACACACAGGACTACAGCAACAAGATACACAAGTACAGAAAACTTCAGCAATAAGATACACAAGTACACACATAGCACACAAGGCTTCAGCAACAAGATACACAAGTACACACACACACACACACACACAAGAACTTCAGCAACAAGATACACAAGTACACACACAGCACACAAGACTTCAGCAACAAGATACACAAGTACACACACACACAGGACTACAGCAACAAGATACACAAGCACACAGCACAGAAGACTTCAGCAATAAGATACACACAAGTACACAGCACAGAAGACTTCAGCAACAAGATACACAAGTACACACACAAGACTTCAATAACAAGATACACAAGCACACACACACCCCACAAGTAACAAGACACACACACAAGACTTCAGCACTAAGATACACAAGAATATACACACACATCATACAGGCTTAACTTTACAAATGTCTGTATGAAATTATGAATCAGAATATCAATGAGAAAACAATGAAGCAGGAGAAAAAACAAGAAGGAGAATAAGGAAAGAATGGTAGAAAAAAGGAAGGAGGGAAGGAATGGCATAAAAAAGGAAGACTGTAAGGAAGGAAGAAGCAGTATAAGGAAAGAAGGCTTAAGGATGGAAGGAAGGGCAGAATTGTATTAAAGGAGGAAAGCTATAAGGAAGGACGGGCAGAATAGCATAAAAAAAGAAAGCTGTAAGGAATAAAGTAATGAATGGTATAAAGATTTAAGGTTGTAAGGAAGAAAGGCAGGAATTATAAACAGAAGAAAGGCAGTAAGGAAGAAAAGCAGGAATGATATACAGAAGAAAGGCTGTAAGGAAGAAAGACAGGAATGATATACAGAAGAAAGGCAGTAAAGTAGAAAGACAGGAATTATATACAGAAGAAAAGCTGTAAAAAAGAAAGACAATGATATACAGAAGAAAGGCTGTAAGGAAGAAAGACAGGAATGATATACAGAAGAAAGGCTGTAAGAAAGAAAGACAGAAATGATATACAGAAGAAAGGCAGTAAGTAAGAAAGACAGGAATGATTTACAGAAGAAAGGCAGTAAGGTAGAAAGACAGGAATTATATACAGAAGAAAGGCTGTAAGGAAAAAAGACAGGAATGATATACAGAAGAAAGGCAGTAAGGTAGAAAGACAGGAATGATATACAGAAGAAAGACAGTAAGGTAGAAAGACAGGAATGATATACAGAAGAAAGGCAGAAATTATAAACAGAAGAAAGGCAGTAAGGAAGAAAGACAGGAATGATACACAGAAGAAAGGCAGTAAGGTAGAAAGGCATGAATTATAAACAGAAGAAAGGCAGTAAGGAAGAAAGATAGGAATGATACACAGAAGAAAGGCAGTAAGGAAGAAAGACAGGAATGATATACAGAAGAAAGGCAGTAAGGAAGAAAGTGTGAACTGGTGTACAACAGGAAAAAGGGAATGATGTAAGGACCGATAAATGAAATGGTATAATACAGGAAAGTTTTCAGGTAAGACACGTGTAAGTAATGGTGTACGGAAGGGTGGAATGGGTAAAGGTGAATGGACAGTAGGTTAAACGAGGTTGAACGAAAACTGAAAAGGGGAAGGGAGGAAGTTAGTAAAGAAGGCGGGATTTTGGGGAGGTTATAAAAAAGGCACAAATGAATACTTTAAGGAAGAAGTGAGGCCATGTAGCGTAAGGACAGAGTGAAGGCATGAAAGAGGGTTCTGAATAAAAAAGGAGAGAAAGTAAGAGAGGTTTGAGAGAAGTAAGGAAACGATAATGATCTGATATTTTCTTCTTTTGTTCTACGAAAAAGGCCTAAATGAGGAGAGGCGTTAGAAAGAATAAATAAATGAATGAAAGAAAGAAAAATGGGAACAAATACAGATAGATAGAAAGGCCTGTAGAAGGGTAATAAATAAAATATGAAGCAATACACAATTACCCACAATTAATCAATTGAAACAAGAAAATAATCCACTGCTAACAAATTAACAGAAACATCGGACAGGTCACGCAGGTGAAGCCACAAACGACAAAGCCACCGCACCCGCAATCACCTGCCCCGTGTAGGTGTCCCAATCCTTCATTAATAAACCCACACCATCAATACCAGACACTCAACGCGGCCGGCTTGCACTAGTCCCGCAACCACCGCATTCAGAGCCCGCAGCGCCTCCGACAAACCATCAGACACCAACAAACGTGGCCCTAAACAATAAGGAAGGCTAAAAAAATGATAATAGATCACCCCCCCCCCCCCCCCCACTCTCTCTCTCTCTCTTTCAACCCAGTTCCTTCCAACAGCTTGCCCTACAGGGCAAAATCAATAGAAGCAGTGTACTCGCGTAGCTATGTTCTTGACACGATGTATGTTTCACAGTTGTAACATGTCCGCATGCAGATCATACACATATGGGCGCCAAACCTAGAGGTTCGGGGATCATGAGCACCCCCCCCCCCCTTTTTTTTTTTTAAACCTGATATCGCGTGGCTGGAACCTCCAATAATGTAAAGGGGATCGACCTCTCCCCTTCACTCATAAATGTACAAGGGGCTGAGGCCCCTACCACAGACAGACGTTGTCTTCCTAGGTAGGTATTGATACATTTCCTCCCTGTCAAACCACGGCAAACAACAATAAAGCAATTCGGTCTGAATGATAATAAATTACAAACTTAGAAAAGAATGTGGTCGTGTATTATATAAAAAGGTGTATGAATTAATAAACTAGTTTGTAAGACGGAGAAATTATCCCATGAGTGGGGAAAAGCCATCCATTACTGATAGTGCCCATTTAAAAAAAAAGGAGATGTCCAGTGCGCTAGTTATGCTGGTTAAACCAGCTGCGCGGCGACCGGGTGACAAACCCGTGGTCGTCTGAGTTCGCGCTCGGGGTAGGCAGAAAAGATAACATTTCCCAGATTTACGGTCTCTATCAAGGACAAGCCTGAAAGGTTGCGATATCCATAGTACCGAGCGAAAGGGTTTGCAACTAATGTTTTTTGATGAAAAAAAAAGGAGACAAGTATAAATGTGAAAATTATGGAGAAATATTACTAATGTGTACAATCTATTATATATCGACGGCACTGCATCATCATCATGTGCCCTGCTAAATGGCGTTGATGCATCTCCGTAGATCACGATCCCCGGTTGCCTGGAACAGCTCTCTTGATGATGTCCCTCCATGCCATCGTTTCAGCCCAGCCAGCATCATCTCTCTTGGTCTGCCTCTACCCTTCTTTCCGCTGATCTTTCCAGTTGTCACGATGTTCTCCAATGCCTCTCTTCTCATTATGTAACCAAAGAACAGTGTTTGTAAGCATGCATTTTCACACCGGAACGTTCCCCGTGTGGCTTCTGGGGCTCTGTTGTCGGGAAAAACAAAAATATACCCACTGCCTACCCGAAAGCATGTCGTAGGAGTCGACTAATTTGGAGTTTCCGTCGGAGTACATCTGCCTGAGAGGCAGGAAACTAACAATCTGCATACAAATGAGTCAGATCTGTAAAACGGATGCGAGTGCAACACTCAGGTTGTGGAAACAGGACCCCAGTCCAGAAGTGGACGAAACAACCAGAACTTTCCACCGGAGTTTACATCCGGTGAACGAGAAGACAACTAAACGGGAACGGAAGACGAGGAAGAAGAAGAAACGGGAGGAAGATACACTATGGCTCTGTGTGTTCTCTGGTCCCAGGATGGTACGCAGCCAAGCGATTCATTCATTTTACAACCGACAGGAGCAGAAGACGACAACAACAGCAGGAAGGAGATATGGCGTCTTGAAACAATTCTCTGGCACAACTCATTGAAAGATGAAACGTGACCCGGCGGGCTGATCGTAGTTCCTGCCCAGGGTCGTGACCCCTATGTTCAGGTCGCGTTGAACTTTGTGTCGGGATGACTCATTGAACACAACTGCTCAACAGTGCATTCATGTAAAAAAAAAAACTCGCGTTTTGTTGCGAACATCAACAGCTCAGCTAACAAAGTGATGACAAATACATGCATACAACAGTGGGGAGGGAAGAGATCGCATTAAGATCATAAAGAACAGAAGAATGTATTTAAAAACAGCTAACGGGCAGGAGGCAGGGTAAAAGCGTGCACATGGAGATAAGAATAAGGACGAAACAATGCAGGTTGTATATTAGAGGCACTAAAGCCGTAAGCGAGGGGAGCTCACGCACCTTGAGGCCAGAACATTTTTGGGGCGGAGTGGGGTGGGGGGACTTTAGGGCCCCTCCCATAACCTGTGCAGGGGGTTAAGTGCCGCCTCACTCCCTCAATCACTTATTAGCGTTGTTTTATTATACTATTTGTTGACACACCTCGTTGTCACCTTTGCGTTTTTCCAGACGATAGTGTCATACTGTGTGCGATCATCCGTTCTGGTAGCCGTCCTGATTTGTGCCTGTGGGTTTTTCGGGCCACGTCCGGGGCTTAGGCGCTGCGAACGCCCTTCTCAATGCGTAGGTGTGGTGTTCGATCTAAGATCCCTCGGAGACATTGTTTTTTTTTTAACTGCTTCGTAAGCGCCCGGTGGTGACGTTCGGAATACCGGTCGAAAATTATTCAAAGACAAAAACATCCCATTCAGGGCCCCAAGAGGTCATGTACTTATAAAAATGGAACAGGAACACTACGAACTATGCTTTGCTTTATTATACAATTTCTTTTGAACGAAATTTTCGAGTCTTCGGTAGCACAATTGTAAGTATACTGCCTGACACGTGGGTGATGGGTGTACGATTGAAATTTGACTGACTGACTGACTTTCTACCCCACCAGGACATCACACAAGCGACCAACACCCGATGACACAAGGTGCCACCATGCGGATGAGGATCGCCGTGGAGAGGTCCCAGAAACCGTGTTCAGACATTTGACCATATGTATGGCCTGCCTATATTGCGGCCCCTGGCAAAATTTGTTTGTTGTTGCTTTTAATATGGTGGTTGGCATGTTGTGGTTTACAGCTAGGCTACGATATCTGCGCATTTCGCTCGGTCTTGTTTTCAGCAATAAATAATTTGGGACCGTTATTCTGAAGAGTGTCGATGGCTCGTCCTGCTGCTAGCATTATCACTCAGGGCAGTCAATCAGACACATCGGTGACCGGGTGGCATACTTGCTCGCCGGTAGACCACTTCGTCGCCGGTCGGGACATTATTTGGGTCTGTCTCTTTTGATCGCATCAACACTGCAGGAATTCTTTGCATGGCTCTTGCTAACGTGCAGTGCTAAGCCATTTTATATGGCCACATAACCTAGTCACAATTATAACCTTCGGGGGTGCTGGTTGAAAGTGACGATTTTCCCCCAGCAAAGCCTTGGATAAGTCAGTGATACAGCAAAGTGAGTTGTTGGCGACAGCAGTCAGGCCTGGAAATACGGTGTGAATGATTCATCTCTTTACAGTCCACGGGGCTCTTTGCTTGCTGTCCAGCTTTTAGTGAGTGTGGTGGCGAGCATGTGTGTAGTTGTATCAGTGGGAGTGGGTGTGCAGTTGTATCAGTGGGGGTGGGTGTGTGTAGTTGTATCAGTGGGCGGGTGGGTGTGCAGTTGTATCAGTGGGGGTGGGTGTGTAGTTGTATCAGTGGGCGGGTGGGTGTGTAGTTGTATCAGTGGGTGGGTGGTGTGTAGTTATTTCAGTGGGTGGGTGTGTAATTGTTTCAGTGGGTGGGTGGATGTATGCGTAGTTGTTTCAGTGGGCAGGTGGGTGTGTAGCTGTATCAGTGGGTGAGGGGAGGTGTAGTTTTATCAGTGGGTGGGTGTGTGTAGTTGTATTAGTGGGTGGGTGTATTGTTTCAGTGGGTGGTTGGGTGTGTAGCTATATCAGTGGGTAGGTGTATCAGTGGGCGGGTGGGTGTGTGTGTAGTTGTATTAGTGGGTGGATGAGAAGGTGTAGCTTTTATATGACTGCCGCACACTTAATTGTGGTATGCCATTATAACGCAGAATCTTACACAGCGATCCCCTATGCAAGTTGCAAAAGCTTTTTCAAAATTCACAAAGAACATATTTTATTCTTCTTCGGCGCTCACCCAGAGACGTAAATCTGGGTCCATCAATACTCAACAAAGGTCCATCCACCCAACACTTATTCCCCAGCTCACCTATCCACTCAACATCGATCCAACCACTCATCATTGATTTCCCAGCTTACCCAGGAGAGATTCTTCCACCCACTCAACATCAAGCCATCCACTCATCACTGATTTACTCACTCATCTGCTCATCCAACACTGACTCATCAACTCTCTCAACACTGATTCAACAGGTTACCAATATCAATCCATTTACACAACATCAACACACTCAACCACAAATCCGATGAATGCATTGACGGCTAAGAAAATCAACAGGAGGCAAATACAAGGTATCCAAAATCATCATCATCAAGTGTCTTACTGACTGGCATGTGTAATCATTAATCACGAAATCCAGGAATCGACAAAATATGAAACAATACTGATTTTTTGAAGGACAGGTTTTCTAACAACTGTAATATTTAACAATATGTTTTTAAATTTGCTATTTAAAAAAAAAAAAAAAACATGAATGAGAAAAAACAAGACTAAAGCACAGATTTTAAAATGTTTTAGCTAACAGCTGATGATATTTATCTTCAGTCCCACTTACGGAATCAGGCACAAGATAAATAAAATATACTTGGTGCGAAATCACAGCAGCTAGGTCTGAAAATCCATAAAGGGAAGGCAATGATAATGAGAATAAATTAGGCCAATAGTAATTTGGTTTCTCTTAATAGTATCCCACTTCATAACGTGGAGTTGTACATCTGGGCACAATGTAGATAAAGATGGGGGAACTGATACAGATATTAAAACATGAATATAAGAGGCAAAAAGAGCTTTCATAGCACTAGGGAATTTGTGGCAGTTAAGAGAAGTTTAAACTAATACTAAGACTTAAAATGTTTCATTCTAATGTCAAATCAGTACTGTTGTATGGCGAGGAGACATGGAGAACTAAGACATTACCAATAAACTACAAACATTCATTAACTGGTGACTGTGAAGAATAGAGGGAATTAAATGGTATGTTGAATCACTAATTAAGTGCTTTGAGAGAGAACTAAACAAGTTCCAGTGAACCAAGAGGTGAAGAAAAGATTACGGCAATGGACAGGACACATGCTGTAAAAATCTTAGAACAATATAACTAGAATATTTGTGCACTGGAACCCACAGGGGCATAGAAATAAAGCAAAACCAAAAAACACATAAAGTAGGGAGCTAGAGAGCAAAGTTAAAAAGACGTGGGGAGAGCTGCATGCGACAGCAAAGAATAAAACGACTTGGCAGTTGAGGGTATTATTTCTCTGAACCAATCAACAAGTTTGGTCTGTTTTCAAATCTGATGTAAAGTGAGGGATTCTGAAGAATCATGTAAGGAAGAGAATGTAGAGAGTGGTGTAACGGAATGGCAGAATCAGAGGTACAACAACTGATAGATGGAAAGGCTGGACCAGAAGATGCAGTAGTGTACACCGATGGTTCTGTTCAACGGGGTGTAAGATCTGGCCGGGGATTTTCAGCTAGAATGAAGGAGAAAACTGTGGCAGAACAAAACGGAGCTATTTTTATCTACAACTTCAAGCATGAGGATGGAAATGGAGGCAATCACTGCAGCTCTGAAGTGGATAGCAGAAAAAAAAAGTTAGCAGAGGAATTATTGTGTCTGATTCTCAGTCAACATTGCGGAAGGTTCAAAATGGACTGGTGTGGCAGGAGTGGATACCATGTATCAGTACGCCAACACTGCAGGGAGTCAGGTGGATATACTGTCCGGGTCATGCAGGAGTGCGAGGGAATGAAAGAGCAGATTATCTGGCTAAAAAGCGAAAGCTAAGGGAATACTAGTATTGGACAATGGAGATATTCTGAAGACCATATATGATTTACTTTTGGCAGAAGATATGAGGTTAGCTGAAATAACATGGACAAGAACGTGTGAACGAGGAATTAAGTGTGGATCCGGCAAGGAGGGAGGGATGAGAGGAATATATCGGCATGTGTATAATCAGTGTTCTACAGGAACAGTTAGCATCTACACCTTAAGCTATTTGCTGCGGGCGACGGAGCACCTAAGGGTATGCCTGGTGTGCTAGGATGTCGATTCTTAAATCATTAATCTGAAGAACTGATAAAATATTTATTTCCTGCAGGGGTTGTAAGTCTGGCCCTTCTGGAAGTAGGACACCCATAAGTTTAGTATTGCCATTTGTAACTCGCTCAGACATTAGCTAGGACACTGTGGGACTGAAAGAGCTGATATTTTTTAAAAGTCACCCCATGCCAGGCTGCCGCAAAAGACATAAGTGGAATGTGAATATGAAGCAAAAGGGGAATGTAAATATGAAACAAAAGTGGAATATAAATATGAAGCAAAAGTGGAATGTAAATATGAAACAAAAGTGGAATGTAAATATAAAGCAAAAGGGGAATGTAAATATGAAGCAAAAGTGGAATATAAATATGAAGCAAAAGTGATATGTAAATATGAAACAAAAGTGGAATGTAAATATGAAGCAAAAGTAGAATGTAAATATAAGACATAAGGGGAATGTAAATATGAAGCATAAGGGAAATGTAAATATGAAGCAAAAGTGGAATGAAAATATGAAGCAAAAGTAGAATGTAAATATAAGACATAAGGGGAATGTAAATATGAAGCATAAGGAGAATGTAAATAAGCAAAAATGGAATGAAAATATGAAGCAAAAATTAAATGTAAATATGAAGTAAAAGTCTAAAGTAAATATGAATCAGTACTTAAATTTTTTTCCAACAGCTGTGTGAGGTAAAAGTGGAAAGTAAATATGAGTCAAAGGTAGAATGCAAATATGAAGTGGAATGTAAATGATATGAAAAAAAAAGCAGAATGTAAACATGAAGCCGCCCACTTACTTTGATCACTGACTGTCAAAAGAACTCTGGCCACTAAATCCAAATACTCTTCCTGAAATGATTAATTCAACTTTCTGTCAACAAAACATTTGGTCAAATGTGGATATATTTGGTTTGCCAATGTCCCAGGCAAAGGGGTTCTTTTAAGTTAATTTTCCCCCTTTTCATGCCTCTAGAAGGACTGGGAGTTGAGGCAGTACCTATCTAGTTTAACCAGTTTTACTTCCCAGTTAACTACCTAGTGACTATCTTAGACAAACACCTCAGCCAAAAATAGTTGTTTTTCCCTCCCAGTCACTGACTCCTAGACTGTTATTGTTTTCCCTCCCAGTCACTGACTCATAGGACTAGACTGTTATTGTTTTCCCTCCCAGTCACTAACTCCTAGACTGTTTTGGTGTCCCCACCCCTCCCCCGTCACTGACTCCTCGACTGCTATAACAATAACATCACATTCCCTTTAACCACATGTAAATGCACTATTAAACATCACATCTCCTTCAATCATGTAAATGCACAGTTAAACATCACATCTTCTTCAACCACACGTAAATGAACTATCAAATGTACTTACCCTGCACTTGGCCTTGTTGAAGACAAAATCTTCCATTTCGATGCCAGACTTTGAAATCTGTGACTGACTGTTGCGCATGGCATCATCTCTGCAAACAACACACAGTAAAAAGATATCAAACTAAAAGTAGAACCAATCAGCTTCACATAATCACAAACACAATAACAAGTGAACGCTACGGCTAGAAAGCTTTCATCAGCACATTACATAAATCAACACACACACAAAACTGCAGTCGCTTAATTGACAAGTTCCCAGTAGAAGTCATATTGCTATCTGACTAGTGGAATGACACATGTGGCCACAGAGAATATTTACTAGCCCGAGACATAAAACACAAACATTTAGTTTACATCTTTGTTATATCTAATTAACATTTTCTTATGTATTTGTTAAATGTTAGCTAACATTTCTTGTATGGTTTTGTTATATGAAAGTAAACATCTCTTGTATGTTTATGTTATATGTTAGTTAAAATGTGCTGTACATCTGTATTATATGTCAGTTACCTGTATGTCTTTGTTATATGTTTAACCCTATGGGGACGGAGCCTTTTTTTTGGAGTTTCGGTGCCAAGAAGACGGAGCCTTTAGGAGGGGACGCTCATAGTTTATACACACAAAATTATAAAAATAAAGCGTTTAATGAACATATAAAAACTACACATATTTGTGTAGAAAATTAAATAAACTAACAGAATATTTGTGAATCAAACTGAAAGTTCAACGTTTATTCAAATTAACTATTCTGATTTGCATAATTTTTGCAAGCAATTTGTTTAAACTTGGGAACAAGCATAACAGCTGAAAAATGTGGGTGCATTTTTTTTAAATGGATAAAGCTTGAATAACACCTAACACCTGTATTTTGGCAAGTAAGGCCCTTGGAGGTCCTTCAGACATGTCCGCACATGGTTCTACTCATTTTTCTGCCTCCAACTATGTTTCGGTTGCTATGGCGCAACAGTCCTTTTCGGCATTTTGGGGCACAGGTAACCCCAGAAAAAAAAATAAATGTAAATTACAGAACACATCAAACTTTCTTGAAAGCCGTAAATGAACAGCCTACATGTGCAAGAAATGGGAGAAGCAGTCTGACTGGCTGGTACGAAAACCTGCCAGCCAATATCGATATAGGACCAACCGATCGGCCTAGTCGTCCTTTTGGTTACTTTGTGTTGAGCTAATATTTTGGCCGTGTCTTCTCCAAAGGGTTAACATATGTCTGTTATATGTTAGTTAACATATATTTGTTATATGTTAGTTAACATATATATGTTATATGTTAGTTAACATATATATGTTATATGTTAGTTAACATATATATGTTATATGTTAGTTAACATATATCTGTTATTTGTTAGTTAACATATATCTGTTATATGTTAGTTAACATAAGTCTGTTATATGTTAGTTAACATTTCTTGTATGTCTGTTGTTTGTTAGTTAACATACGTCTGTTATATGTTAGTTAATATTTTGTTTATGTCTGTTATATGTGACCACTAAGATTATCAATATTAAGCCCAGTAGATCCCAGTTAGCTAAGACCTGTAAAAATCTCTTATTTCAGAGGCCTGCCACGGTCTCCATACTTTTTTTTAAACAGCCATACTGAAGAAGCTATTACAATTTATAAATATTATAATCACAAAACGGATTGCATTTTACAGTTGGTAATTTTTTTGCAAATGATATCAACATACTCATGTGCCGTGCCAGTTAGCATGGACTGTTAAGTTTCCCCGTCTCACACGATCACGGATCAGGTCAATGTTTTTGTCTTGCCCCATCCATCCAGCCAAGCGATCCAGCAACTTATCTCTTTGCCTTCCTCTTGCTCTCTTTCTATCAATCTTGCCAGTCTTCACCAAATTCACTAGTCCATTCCTTCTCATAATGTCATTTAAACAACAACAACAACAACAAAAATGCTACCTCACACTTCCTAGGTTAGGTAAACGCATTAGTCTAAATCCCAAAGAAATTAGCAGCTTCAGAACCTGATCAACCATTAGAATGAGTTGCAACACACACATTTTTATTTATTTTATTGGAAGAGGAGAGGCTAATAAAGGGCTCTGAACCCCTATATCCAATTTTAAGGGCGGGTGGGAGAGGGGAAGGGGTGTATATTTGTAATTTAGGCTCTATCTATTAGATTTACTCACAGAGTTTAAAATTACTGCATAAATTAAACAAATTTCCTTTGTTACAGCTCACTGTGGAAAATAAAACAGTTTCTTCTTCTTCTTCGCATTCACCAACTGTAAACTCTGGTGGAAAGTTCCTGGATGTTCGTCCACTTCTGGACTGCAGTCCTGTTCCAGAACTTGAGTGTTGCGTGTGCATACGTTTGACAGATCTGACTCATTTTAATGATATGACAGCAAACCTGTCATCCTTTGAGCCCGAGTTTTAAAATAAAAAGGCTTTATAGCCTGGCTGTGTAAACAAGAAATTGACCACTAGAGATATTAGTAGGATAATTAAAGGCACATTAGTGGTGGCAGGATTGGACAGGAAAATCATGAAGGGGGAGTGAAGGCATGAATTAGTGATATAAGAGAAAAATGCTGCTGATATACTATCAAATAGATTAAACAGGACACAGCAACTTTAATAATAAAAAAATAAAAAAAAAAGATTTGATTACCTTTGAAATTGAAACACTGCTCCATGAGAACACTATATAAATCCGAAGCGAATCATAGAGGAACTTATTAATTCTACTCCTCCTTGAAAATCCAGCTTATAAGTAAAATGACAGGTGACAGATCATTACATTATAACCATTACTAAAAAAGTAAAGGTAAAGTCAGGAGATGTGAGCCAGCGTCATTGAACACGGTTATAAACCATTAGTGCTCTGCCACCAGTATGGACAGCTGGTAAGAATTGTCCGCCGGTGTCGCCGTTCGCAGGTAACTCTGTAGCTATAGCGACCTTCCTCCATTTACCCCAAAGTGTCAACTCTGGTACCCATCTCCTAGAGGCTGGGTGAACACTGGGAGCCGCCCAGTTTCGAACACCGACCGTGGGCTGCAGCGAGTCGCAGCTGGATTTGAAAGCGAGCCTCTTATCGACTGCGCTAACGATGCCCCTGAATAACCATTACTTACCTCATTAACTTGCATGCACTTAAACACACAAAGACACACTTTAACTTTATGCCTACATTTGTTAAATGTATGCTTTGCATACTGAAATTTAACTGTCAGAATCCTTATAGCATCCCTTGTCAGTAGAAGCGGTAAAAGATGATCTATTGAATAAAATGCCAGTTTTATTATTTGCTTATATTAACAGATATTTGTTTCTTTTTCAGGATGTAAACATGACGCTTTCTTGTTATACTAGCTACAGTAACACGACCGAGGTTTAAAGAAGTAAAGTCCGTTAACATAAACATTTTGTTCCGGCAGGAATGTATTGTTAATAGTCTCCACCTAGGTCACACTTTCTTCGATTACTTGTAATCACATTTATGAGGTATAACTGTTCACTGCATTAGGGAATACTGCTGCTAATTTTTTTTCATTAACTTTCAGTTCCCTAATCAACAAGAACATGAAATCAGAAACTACAGTCTGGAAATGATGTATTATAAAGGTCGTTAGAAACAAATTAATTTTTTTAAACAAATACAGTTAGTTAGCGGCCATTTTAAAATTCAAATTCGGGGAGATCATGTCTTTTAAATACTGATTGTTCTGTAAGGCTGCCCCAAAAAAAATACTGCGATGATGACAGGATTATATCATAAATTGAGTTTAAATCTTATGATTATGATAATTAGCGACCATTTTGATTAAAAATTAATTAATATTACGCAATAGATAAAAATTTGATGGTTATTTGATTAGACCTAAATGATCAAGACCTTTTTCTTTTTTGTTAAACTTCCCTAGAAAGAAATGTAAAGACTGTTATAAAGTTTATTGGAACCAAATTGATTTTTAATAATTAGTCATTAATAATTAAGGACCATTACTAATTTTGATTTAAGCAAGAGCCTGTGTCTTTAATATCACAAAGTGACCTTTTGATTGTTATATCAGGTTGCAACAAGAAAAAGAATTGACATTGATAGATTTATATCATATAAATTGAGTTATTATGTAACGATTATGATAAATGGCGTCCACTTTGAATAATAATTAGTTGACATTACATAACTACAAAAAATTTCATGTTTATTCAGTTAGATCTTTTTCTGTGGTCTTTTTAAAATACTTAATAAGTTAGAAAAATTTTTAACGCTCTTCAAAGACTTCTGATTTCTGGGCGACAAGTTTTAACTCACTTTAATTTTTTCTTCTTTATTCATTTTGTTCACAAAAACTTCAATAACCCGGCTCAGAATTGACATACACAGGCATAAATCAAAATGAGGTAAAGTTGGAAAGAGCTTTTCAGTGTGTATCTAGTTGTACTGGTTCTATAATTTTATTAGTAAAAAATGATTTTGAAAATTTGACTCAGTGTCACTACACTATGACAAACGGACTCGCACTCTCACTAAATTATAATTTTTATTAATTAGTAATACTCTAATAACTAATTTTCTCCTAGTCACTAGTCCTAAGCATCGATAATTCGGCTCTCCTTTCAACTACGGCCGTATTAACTAATTTTCTCCAGTACTAAGTTAACTAAGCATCGATAATTCGGCTCTCCTTTTAACTACGGCCGGTAGAAACAGTAGACGGCCGATAATTCAGTTATACGACAAACAAACTTAAACGATTAAACTAACGGACTCATAGTTGCGCCCCTATCTTATTCATAAAAATCAACTATAACAATATTACCTAACAGATCAGAAACGTTTTACTGGAATAAGTTAATGAGTTAAATGTAAATTTTAACATTTAACTCATTAACTTATTTATTAACAGTAACGTGACGACAGGACTCTTGGTTGGTTGGCAACCAGGTTGCGCCACCTGCCTAAACATCGACACCACAAAAATACATGACAAACATAACACAGTGACTGACAGTCGTGAAGCTATCTTACTCCTTAATATCGACAATAACAGACGACAAAAACATAAACAAAGTGACTTACAGTCGTGCCACTATTTTATTCCTAAACACAGGCGATTTCCATTCTTCTTGCATCCTGCTGGGGTCTGCCATTTTTTTCCCTTCAAACTTTCATTTCAGTTTCAAAGTCGTGTCCCTTTCAGGAGGTATAACTAAATGGCGAAACATATAGAATAACTGAAAACGCTATGAAATAGGAGTAGAATTTTTCAAGAATATCCTAATTGTTGATGAATATCCCATTAAAACCGCAGGTTTATAAACAGGATATAAAGTGTTAATTGAGTTCCCAGAGTATATATTTGTTATAATACACTCAGGCTATCCCCAAATTATGGAGGCCGAAAATATACCCTTAACAGGGCCTCAGTCACAAGTAAATTGCGGACTACTTCCGGCGACTACACTGCATACCGCAAAAAAAGTTTCCGCTGAGTTTAAGTCACTGCCGAGTGTAAGAGAGGGGCTAAACTAGATGGCTGAGACTCATGAGCAGCAGCTACCGCATCTCATGCAGCTTCCTCCATTTTATTTGCCATTGAGCCCTGCCATCTAGTTTAGCGCGTAGCGGCGCGCGAGATACACTCGGCGGTGGCGGTATAGTCTCCAGAAGAGGTCCGCTATTTACATTGACTGAGGCCTTGTTAGGGTATATTTTCGGCCTTGATAATTTGGGACCGTTATTCGGAGGGTAGGCTACATTTATTTATCATGTAATTACTCGTATGACCAAAATGCAGTTTGTATAGTTTCACATTTTGCTTTGCTTTAGACTGTAATTATGATAGAAAATGTACTATGAATAATTAGACAATGAATATGAATAATTAGACATTTATCTATGAATAATTAGACATTGACTATGAATAATTAGACAATCTTGATAGCATTTAGTCATAAGCATGGTGGAAGCAATGGCAAACTACTGGACGTAAATCTGCCTAGAGAAACCACACAACAGCCAGGTGCTGCTGGGGTTGGTTCTGCGACGTCATGTAAAGGATACGCAACTAACCAGTGAGCAATTATTCTACTCGATTTTATATTTTTGGGAAACTACTTCAAATATATTATGGGAATTCTTTACCATTCTATATATGAATTTTAGACTTAGTAATAAATTGCTTGACCTTGCCACGCAGTTCTCTGGGGCTGTCTATGTGCAGTAAGTTTTCTGTCAAACATGTAATTTACGGAGATGCATGTAATTAATTAATGGTTTCCTTTGGTTTTCATATTTCCGACACTCCCGCAAATAGTGCTCTATATTATTGTTTTTCTGGCATACATTACAGGTCTCTTCCTGTATGTAAAGCAAGACCATCCATGTTGTAGTCTAAGCAGTTTACGGTTGCATCTATTCAAGTTAATCTGTTATCTAACATTGTCTTTTAGGAACATTTGACAACGTATATGACTGTCCATCCTGTAGGCTGTGGTCCCAATTCACAGAACTATTCCTCTTTAGGCAGAACATTCAAAGAAGCCAGCGGTGCCTTTTCCATGGTTACCAGCAGCATGACGATGGAAGTGATGGTGGTGACACAGGCTTTTGTGGGGCTAGAATCATAGGACTGTTCTAAAAGTGTGTATGCTGAGTGATTCTATGTGGTCTGACAGGGCGAGGCAGGCTCGTTATGCTGACAGTGGATTGATTTATTGCAAAACTTGTGTGTGTGAGCAGTTACCTTGATATTTGTGCCATGGTATGCAGGTACTGTTGCAATGAAAGAGCCTATAGACTGGCAGGGTTCCACATTAATTGCAGATGGCCGGGCTATGGATTACGCAGACAAGTTCAATGCCTTTAGAGAGATGGGACGCTTCGAAAATTCAGGAAGCAACATGTCCACATCTCTGCTAGGAATACGGGAATTGGGAGTAAAGATCAGTAAAGCGAAGCATGAGAACCACACCGAACGCACATAATGTCTTGTCAATCAGCATAGGACTGGCACTATTAACCACGCGACGCTGATAAATATGTTTAAAGGGGAATCTGAGCACTTATGGGTGTGTCCTGAGTACTATGAAGATAATCCAGCCCATAACGCTTGTGTAGTTAGTTGTGATATTTAGTCTAACATTTACCCAAAAATGGCAGACAGCGAAGTTGCCGATCAGACTCCTCCCAAGGAAGAAGACGTTCAAAAGACTGAAGAAGCACCAGAATCAGACGACTGGAAAAATGAAAAATTTCGCAGTAAAGTTGTAGAACGCATGTAAGTAGAGTTTCATTCCTTTGTTGTCCCGCAAGGGAGAACTCTTTTGACATTCACTGGAAGAGGGAGGACACCTGCTGAGAGTAGTCCTCTTGACTTGCAGGGAATTCCAGGTGGGAATTTGAGTTTGATGAATGATGACTAACTACGTGACTGACCTTTTCAAAGGAAAAAATTCTAATTAGTCTCCATTGACCATTGCATTACGCAGATCTAAACAGTGTGTTTATTAAACATGGTAAAGCTACTAATTGATTGTAATAATAATGAAGTCCTGTCTATAATTATAACGATTAAACTAAATTTGATTTAATAATCAAATCAAAATCGGAGAACCCACCTTTCTTAGAAGTTCTACTCCGTTCCTTTTATCTTCCATTATAATTTGTTAATGGTAGTTTTCATCACTAAAATGTCAATACCACTACTTAGGATTGATAAACCGTCGGACTGTACTTTATAAAAACGCCTTGTGTATAGTGTAACTGTACCATTTTCAATTTCATTTTCCGTGCCTTCAGGGCGTCTTGGGCATATAGGGCCAGGCCTATATTTTTACAGACCAGTCGGCACTTGATGGGTAGTGGGGTCAGCATCACGTCAGCCGACTTTCAGTCACCTAATTTGTCCACAATTGTGGGGGGAAGAAAAGAAGCAAAACGATGTAGATGGATAGACTAACCTGAAATCCAATGGTTTGTTATTCAAGTCTCTAGCTTAATTGTAATTGGAGATTTATTAGTGCTTTTTATGTAAAACAAATATCCAGTTCAATCCTTACAGTAAGGCCAATCATGTCTGATACAAATGTTGTTCCTTACCATGATGTCATGTCATTTAACATCCTGTATGTTGGTCTCCTCCTGCCAGACAAGAAGAAATTACCAAGACAGAATCGCAGGTTCCCAAGTCAGCAGCTGATCTTGAGCAGTTTGTGTTTTCTAAAGCAACATCACGGGTAACAATGATCTCCTGTTTCAGCTGAGCTGATTTTGTTTCATATCCTCAATTCACAACTGCATTTATAATTTTGAATTACTGACAATTGTTTGTCCTGAGAATAAGTATTCACACAGCTGATTGGATTTTCAGCTTCCTGAAAAATTCGGAATGATTGATGATCAAGATGCTGCAGTACAAGAGAGACAATAGAATAATACAAAAACAATTGTTGCATTGTTCAAGACAAAAAAAACAACAACAACAACAACCGTTGCATGGTTCAAGTGAAAAAAAATCATGATTTTTGTGATCAGAATTATGTACTATTAATGTATGCGGATTCATTCGTTCATTGCCATTATTATCATTTTTATAGATTTCTTTTTCCTCTTACTCTTCCATTTTAGTTCCAATGTTTACACTCTGATCATAGGCGATCAGCTGCTCTGTTCTGACTCTGTTGCCGTGTGTTATTTTATGGATCCCAGATTTAAAATTTTGCCTGCCTCCTGTAAAAAATGATCGTTTTGCTAGCAACAATTTTACAAGGTGTCCCAGAAGTTTCCCAACATAGGAAAATATATCACCAAATCCGTCAGAAGGTAGACACCAGTTGTTCACACGTGTTCTTCACCGGTGGAGGACACAGGTCAAAACATGTTTTCAGAACAATTGTTGTCATAGAAAGCAAAAAATTATATAAATATGAATGGTTTTCATGAACAAGTTTTTTTTTTCCTATGTATGAAAACTTATGAAATATTATTTACGATTACTTATAGGAAGTACATAGCTAATGCTTTCTTATATACCAAAGAGTGAACAAAAAAACTGTACAAATCCTCATGTCAGATCAGTACTGTTGTATGGAGCAGAAACTTGAGAACAACTAAGGCAATTACTAATAAACTACAAACATTCATTAACTGCACAGATTAGAGGGACTTTAATGGTATGATAGAATTACTAACGTAGAGCTTTGAAAGAGAACTAAACAAATTCCAGTGAACCAAGAGGTGAAGAAAAGACTGACATTGGATAGGACACAGGTTGAGAAAACCTGAGAACAATATAACTAGAATGTCTTTGCATTGGAACCCACAGGGGCATGGAAATAAAGGAAGGCCAAAATAACACGCGGAGAAGGGAGCTAGAAAGTGAAGTTAAAAAGATGGGGAGGACATGGGATGAGCTGCATGTGATAGCCTGAGTTGGTTGAGGGCCTATACTCCATTGGGGGCTAGAAAGGCAGAAGAAGAAGACAGAGCAAAAGCTTTTTTTCATAGACTAGATCTGTGGCAGATAATTCTCTCACATTCACATCACCTAATCGGTCTCAGTGTTGTCTTGGAGCCTCAGCTACATACTTGTCTCTTCTTTCTGACACTCTGACTGTCAATAAGCAACATCTTGTTGTCTGGGCTCATTCATGTACAGTATATCTGCTAGTTGAGATAACCAGATTTATTGGTCAACAGCTGTCATGCGTCACAATATGTTCAACATAAAAAGTAGAAGTAAAGAACTATTTTCCACTCTTTCAGGCGTATTGGGTGTCTAGTATTGAGACCTTGAGTCGAATCCTCGGTAAGACTGAGAATTTTTTCTGTCAGGGGCAAAATAAAATGCTCATCTGTACAGTCGTGGCGACAGGACTAGAGATGAGGCCGTAAAACCTCAGGCTCAAAGACCCCCCTGCATACAGTGGTATAATAAAGGCAGTGATTGGCAGTTTTGGCAGTGCTAGGCATATATTTTATAGACCAGTGACACTCAGTGAGTGATGTGGTCACTATCATGCCGGCTGCCTTTACTTTCTAGAACTTTACCTTGTGCCCATTTAACCCTAGGTCGACCTGGGGGAGGGGGGGCCAAGGTCATTTTTATGCCCCCCCCCCCCCCCCCCCAAAAAAAAAAACCCACGGTTTTCTGATCAGCAGGCCAGTGTCTAACTGCTACATCGTGGTGACTTCTCATATTCAACGTACTATTTTAGTGTGTGCATATATATATATATATATATATATGTGTGTATGTGTGTATATATATATATACACACACACACATATATATATACATAAATACATACATACATACATACATACATACATACATACATACATACATACATACATACATACATACATACATACATACGTACGTACGTACGTACGTACGTACGTACGTACGTACGTACATACATACATACATACGTACATACATACATACATACATACATACATACATACATACATACATACAAACATACTAGCAGTACCCGCCATGCTTTGCTGTGGCTGAGTCTGTCGCAAAGGAAAAGAAAGAAAATAGACAGCAAACGTCTAATATAATTAATACAGTCATTGCACAGATACAGAGGTAGTTTGGTATGCTGACTCTAGAACATGCAACATATAAGTGTGTGTTTATATTAGTGGTCAATTAAAGTAAATTGTTATGTTGAAAAAAAAAAAGATTATTTCTTTATCGCACGCTAAAGCATCTTTTGTGTTTAAACAGTTGAAAGTAAAGCTGACTACTATACCTCTAAATGACAAACAAATTTGCAATAAAATAATTTTTTAAGCTCTCTCAGCTAACAGTATTTGTCCAGCCCCTCCCCCGCCCCCTCCGTCCCACCCCGATCATATCTTCCTCTCCGAAGGAAAGTCATCACCTGACGAAATATAGTAATTAAATTGAGCTTGGCATCCGTGTCCACCCAGACTAAAATGGGTAGCAATAATCTGAACTGAGAAGTAAATGTGGCCAGTATAACATCTACCACATCACTCATTAAGTACCAGTACTACTGCTACCAGTACAACCACCACCTTCACACACACAAAATAATAAAACTGTCATTACTGTCTTTGTTGGTTGGTGTAGCCAGAGGATTTAGCGCCGCATGGCTAGTGCTATCGCCACAAACTGTTTAGTTTAATTGTGCCCCCGACATAAAAAAAAAAAAAAAAAAACTTCATCACCTTACCAGCGATCGAACCCACAGTAATATTCCATGAGTAAAAAACAGTACACTATACTTACAGATAGCAGAAATAAAAACCCGCACCCGTCATCTCTTGGTAAGGGAAATTGGGACTGTTCTGAAATCTGAAGTTTTGGAGCGAAATGCGCAAATAATGCAGCCTAGCTGTAAACCACAACACAACGTGCCAACTCCTCTTTTGAGAGCAAAAAAGCAACAACAAAAAAGTGCACCTGGCGGGGAATCGAACACAGGTCATCCGCGTGACAGGAGGAAGACTTACAACTATGCTACCCAAGGACCGGAGAATTTGGTAGAAATAAAATTATATGATAATGCGAAGTTTAGTGTTATATATACATATATATATATATATATATATATATATATATATATATATATATATATATATATATATATATATATATATATGCACGCACAGACACACACACACACGAGTCAAAGGTCTGTGGAACTAAAAACAAATCCGGGCCGGAGACAAAACAAATAAGGATTTCATCGTTGCTGGAGCTATGTCGTTCATGGTTTGTGCAACACTCTCACATACAAACATGTGTAGAGTTGAACGCAACATTGTGTGAAAATTTGAAAGCAGTGACAAACTTTTTAAGATTATAGGTAACAAGCATGGAAATTGATTGTTGTTGTTCACAAGTCTTTATTTCTCTCTTTTTCCCTCAGATTTTTTTTGCACGAAATCACAGTTTTTTTTTTTTTTAATCTTCAGAAAAACTACTTAGATCTGGTGGCTAGGATTCTGGTTTATGTGGCTGAATTCAGTAAGTGATTTTTCTTCTGTCTCTCAGGTCTGTCTGTCCGTTTGTCTCTGTGTTTGGTGTGGAGGGAGGGAGATGGTTCATCTTTTTCCCAGGGTGTGCAGATTTTATTGGCAACGAAATAACTGAAAAATGGCAGGTCCTGCTTGAGTCACAGATGGTGGGCCTGTACATCACACCGACATTGTTAATACCATTAGAGAAATAGGACGATCAGAGGCATTTAGGAACAGCATGTCCACATCACTGCTAAAAAAAAAACGAGAAATGAAAGTTCAGATCAGCACAGCCAAGCATGAGAAGCACACCAACGTCAACGAAGTCTTGTTAACCTGCATAGAGCTGGCACTATTAACTGTGGGACACTGATGTGTATGTTGAAGGTCAAATAAGAGCACCAATGAATGTGTATGGATTGCTGTGAAGATAGCTCAGTTTATAATCTATGATGTGGGGCTGGTGGTCTCGAGGCATGTTGTTCGCCTCGAGTGCTAGAGGTCCTGAGTTCAGGCCCTGGTGAAGGCTGGTATTTTTTCACGTAGATTTCTAGTAATATTCCCCTGGTCTCTGGGTAGTAAGACCGGACACCCGTGTAAATTATTGCGCATGTATAAATTCCTTGGCAGTCGGAAATCAAAAAGAGTAGCCTAACAGCACTGTCCGGGCAAAATTTGGAGTTAAAAATCTACCAAAAGTATTTCAGGATCTTCGTGGGTGCAACAGAGTTCATGTGCTGCGCTGAGAATCTTCGGACTCGAGTTTGTTAGAAGTAGAAAGGAGCACTTGTGGGTTACACCCGTGTGCCGTGATGTTGATCTATCATATAAACATAACCCATGATGTGCAGCTTCATTCTGCTAATCTCATTTATCTTTGATTGACTTCTTTGTTTGCCGTCTTTTTTTCTTTCTCACTTTTTATTGTCTGCAGAGATCTTTCTTTATCTTCAGACAAAAAGAAAGAAAAGAAAGAGACAGAGGAGGCCAAAGGAGAAACTGGAGACAAGGAAGAAGAAAAGACAGAAGAGAAGGAAGACTCCTAGTCTGTATAAGAATACATTTTTATGTAGGGACAACATGTTTATTTTGTACTGTGTTGTGTGCTACTTTTATTGACTAGAGAAGTATGTCTTTTACATTACTCATTTGGGGGCTTTGGTTATAACAGATTTTAAATATCTAGAGAGTGGTTTTCAATCTTTTTTTCTGGTGGCTCCTGCCTGATATGTGACAAGACTTTACAACCCCCCCCCCCCTACCACCCCCCCCCCCATCCCCAAATCAGCACACTTAAAATAAAAATGTGATTAAAAGATTTACAGTAAGAAAAAGCCAAAGCATTGTAAACAAGAACGTGGCAGGAAAAACATCTATCCCAAGCTGAAAATGCCCAATAAAATGACCAGAACCAATCACAAAAACAACTGGTATAATTCTAGTGTCCCGATATCAATGTTATGGTTAACGTGGCTTTTCTCTGATGACATCTGCTAGTTTTGGTCTGATGTTCTACGTGGCACAACAGAAATCACTCTCCACGTCAAGCCAGCAGCTTGTTTTGTTTCAGATTATTAAATGTTAGATTTTGAATTAAAGCTTGGATAAAATGTATGTAAACAGATTTTGGTTATCCCTGTGTGGGCTCTGGGGTTCCATTAGTAAGAGAGACAAGAATAGACCCACTGCTCCCCAACAAGCAGGCTCATAGCAGTCGATTAATTGGAGACGTGCCTTCGAATCGGAGTGCATCTGCCGAGGGGCCAGGAACAACCAACTGCACACAAATAAGTCAGTAAAATAGATGTGCTGCTAGGCCATGGCACAAAGCTAAATTAGACGAACAACCAAGGATGTTCTTGCGGATATTAACAGACGGTGAATGAAATGGAGAATACTTAAATGTTCAAAGGCAATTAAACTTTAAAATGACTTGAACACCCTCCCCCCCCCCCTCCCCCACCCCCCCCCCACACATTTTTTTTTCTTCAAGGCTTCCTTGCGCACTATCAGATGAAAAAAACCTACTAAATCTAGAGAGATATCAATACACATTAAATGAGAACTAAAGATTCTGGTGATCGTGTGAGAATGTGACCACAGATCCGTCTAGACTATGACAGGGCAACATGATGATGGTTGACACCCTAATATTATGATGCAGAAAGATCAGTAACTAACCAGCACTTAGTACGGTTGAGGCCTAGAAATAATCAAAGCCGATTGCAGAGTATCAAGTGCATTCATACAGGACATGATGATCAGTGTAGTCATAAGGACATTGGATGTATCAGTGTATCATAGACATGATGTATCAGGTATCATAAGACGATATGTACAGGCTTCATAACCACAGATGTACAGTGCATCATAAGACATGATGTATCAGTGCATTCATAAGACAATGTTCGTGCATTATAAGAATGCTATGGATAGTTTCATCCCCCAAAACTTTAAATTTTTCTATCTATTTTGAGAGAGTAGAGGAAAAAATTGTGGGATGTTTGAGATAGGGCTTTTGTTTAAAATAAATAAACAGGAGTGATATTTTTTCTTCCAAAAGTTTTCTGTTTCAACCGCAATTTTTTTTCGTTTGGTGTATTATTTTGGGGGAGTTGCGGAATAAATGTTTGGTTTTTCGAACCCATTACTGGAAAATTTAAGTCAGTTTTTGTTTGAAATAATTAATTTATTTTTAGAAAATGCCCATTTTTGTAGGTGCATTTTTTTTGTTTTTTCCAGTTTTTCCATTTTCTTTCAGATCATACATTTTTTTTGACATTTACATTTATGCTTTTTTTTTTTCCCATATGTCGTTGGTCCCTTTTCTCTCTTTTAAATTTTCTTCGTTTCTATCTTTACATTTATTTTTTTCCCCTTTTTTTTTTTTTTCAATTTTCT